AACCGTGGTTTCAGAATCTTTTGGTTTATTCTACGTCAGGCTGAATTTCTGGAGTCGTGGACTTGGATACTGGGGATGTTTTTTGCTTTCTCACAGCTCCCTTCACGGGCAACTTTCCTGTTTTTACCATTTCATTTTCTGCTGTAGCTCTTCTCCATAAGGCTCCATAAGGTGAAGATGGAGGCCTTTTAGGCAGTTCAAGTGGAATCACACCAGGTGTAGGGAGAATGACCATTCTCGCGATCGTGGAAGTGTTTACACGTGTGATGACGCTGGACACGGAAGGTTTTCTCGTGATCGTGGAAGTGTTTACACATGTGATGACGCTGGACATGGAACGTTTTCTGTGAACAAGAGAGAGAAAATGGAAAAATGGAAAGTCAAAGTCAGTTTTCTTCACTATAAAATCCTTCACAGGTTAAATTCCTGGGATGACTTTTACTCCACAAACTACTTTTTTTTTTTACACTGAGGACACAAAGTTAGAGCAACAGAATATTTATGGTAATTAATTAATATATATATATATATATATATATATATATATATATATATATATATACACACACACACACACAGTATATATATAAATAAAACCCTCTGTCCTCTTAAAGAGACGTCTGTGTGAAACATATCTTACTTCAGAGGACGCTTCTTTTGCTTAGGATGCTTCTTTTGCTTCACACAAACAGTCTTCTGTAAACAAACAAATTAGAATGAGTTCTTTTAGATTAATATGATAATTGACAGTGAGACTACATTAGACATACATTATTATGTACTGTATATTTCCCAGGGACAGAGAAGGAAAGACAAACGTGTGATGATACCTTTGCTCCAACAACAGGGATTTGAAATCCTTTCACATCGAGGCTCTTCAGGCTCTTCAGTTTCTTTGCGTCGTCTTCTTTCTCAAAACACTCGATTGTCTACATGTGCACACACACACAAACGCACATATTACTACAACCGTCAGGACTATAAACTCACTACATTCACACACAAAACATTAACAGCTCCTCCACTACATGTCTGACCGCCCAGATATTTCAGTTTCATTTCTTTAAACGGAATCAGAGGAATTGTAGCATTTATGCACTTACATTGCATTTCCAAAGGCCAAAAGCATACAATAAACTATCAATAAATATGATTTGAACCCATAATATTCAGTGCCTTCAGTCGTTTGGATAGAGTACATGTCAACACAGGAGAGGGCTGATGGTTTCTGGGTTTGATTCCCTTCTTACAGAGAAACTTTGGATAAAATACCAAATAAAAGCAACAGATTGTCAAGGAGAAAACGTAGCTCACAACACTTCTATTTTTTCCCTGAGATGAATCTGAACACAGCGCTCTTCCATCCGACCTCGTCTCATGATGTGTGGCGTTGGTTTCACTCCCTGGCTCACTTTATCTCTGTGAGAAAGACTGTCCTCCTCCTCCCTGTGCTCCTTCCTTATCTACTGTTGACATGTATACTCCTTCGTGCGTTTTATTAAACTCCGGAACATTTTGACTGAGCTTGGCACTGCGTCATTTTGTTGTCCGAGGGCTCGTCACTGACGAGAAGGCAAAGAATTAGCCGAGTTAGTCTTGAGAATATCCACCGCCACGAAACAGAAAGCACAAACTCTCTACGCACACGTTACGCTTTAGTAACGACGTGATATGTAAACCTGGATTTCACTTAACATGTCTGTATCCTCCCAGCTCTGAGTCTTTATAAACTATGATCATGTGGTCAAAGATCACATCTCTCGGCCCCGTGTCCAGACACTTTAGTAAAAGCACATTTGTAAATGCTGTGATTTGACTTACCTTTTCCCATAAGACGCTTTCTTTCGTGAAGAGCTCTGTCAAAGAGAGACAAAGAAAACGTTTAAAAAGAAACAGAGAGAAAGACATTTGGGACCGTTAAACAAACTGTTTCTTACTTACTTATTCTGTCTCGATGCAGGTGTTTTTCTATAGTCTCGCCAACAGTCAGAGGGGTAACGGAGGTAACTGTTTGAAACACCTGGGGCTGAATGAAATCACTGTGAGCAGCATGCATAAGAATAAATTACAATGTCATAGATTTGTGCATATTTCTTGCTTTTTTTTCCCCTGACGGTCTGAATAACTTGCTAGCTTTTTAAAAATAAGGTCGCTAAGAGCTACGTTTGCCCCAAACGACTCTGTGGTCGTATGAGCTCATAATTCATATTTATGTGAAATATTTTGGCAGTAAAAAAAGACGTCTAAAGTAAATAAACCGGTGGCTTTGAACCGTCACCTTTACTTTTTCCAACAACCATGGTTGTGTCTTTTGCCACAGCTTCTTCAACCTTGGTTTCAGAATCTTTTGGTTTATTCTACATCAGGCTGATATTCTGGAGTCGAGGACTTGGATCCCGGGGATGTTTTTTGCTTTCTCTCGGCTGCCTTCACGGGCAACTTTCCTGTTTTTACCATTTCATTGTCTTGCTCGGCTGAGATGTTTTCTGCTTCGGTGGCTTCAGCTGCACTGTTCTGGAGTTCGCCTGTTGGATCTCTTTCGGGTCCAGAAGGTGACGACGGAGGCGTTTTAGGCAGTTCCAGTGGAATCATGTCAGCTGTAGGGAGAAGGACCTTTCTCGTGACAGTGGAAGTGTTTAGAGGTGTGGAGACACTGGACATGGAAGGTTCTCTATGAGCAAAAGAGAGAAAAAGGGAAAATGGAATGTCACGGTTTTAATGATTATATATTTTCTTCACTATAAAATCATTGGCGGTGCGTACAGACGTGTCTTTGAACAATACAACCTTCAGACTGAAGACAACGCGTATGTTCTTGGCAGCATTATTACCTGTATAAAAGCTAAATTGCCTCGCGTGGACATGACGAGTCTGCCGGCTCGTTAAACCCTGACATTTTAAGATGCATGTTTGAGACTGTGTGCGAGGGAGACTGCAGGTCAGCTGCTCAACCCTCTTTCAAGGGCACTTCAGCCATTATTCAAAACGAACATTTGGATTAGGGGAGTAAGCATAGTGGCCTTGGAGCATGGGTAAAACCCTCCCTCCTCTTAAAGAGACGTCTGTGTGAAACATATCTTACCTCAGAGGAGGCTTCTTTTGCTCCACACACACAGTGTCCTGTAAAACAATTTGAAATGAGTTATTTTAGATTAATCTGATAGTTGACAGTGAGACATATATTCTCAGACGTATATTTCCCAGGGACACAAAAAGAAAGACAAAAAGCGTGATGATACCTTTCCTCCAACAACAGTTATTTGAATTCCTTTCACATCGAGGCTCTTCAGGCTCTTCAGTTGCTCTGCGTCTTCTTCTTTCTCAAAACACACGATTGCCTACACGTGCACAGTTTCCAAGACTGAATCAGAGGAATTGTAGCATTTATGCACTTACATTGCATTTCAAAAGGCGAAAAGCCTACAATAAACTATTAATAAATATGATTTCAACACGGACACAGGACAGGCCTGATGGTTTCTGGGTTTGAGTCCCTTGTTGCAGAGATACTTTGGATAAAATAGCCAAATAAAAGCAACAGATTGTCAAGGAGAAACTTAGCTAATAATACTTTGTTTGTGTGAAATCTGTGATATTCCATTCTGAAAACAAGTCTTCATCCGACCTTGTCTCATGATTTGTGGCATTGTTTTCACTCCCTAGCTCACTTTATCTGTGAGAAAGACTGAACTGTCCTCCTCCTCCTCCCTGGGATCCTTTCTCATTATATTATTATTGTGAAATGAATGCAGGGGGGGGGGGGGGGGGGGGGGGTGTATTTCACTGGAGATTCGAGTTTTAACCTTGCAAAGCATTGTGGGATTACTACATTGCAATTCTACAACATGCTGCTAAAATAATCTGAAGGGTAATTTACTGTAAATACACAGTTCAATGCAGTAATACGACATACTGCTCTATCACAGAACTTTGATGCCATAAGCGACAGTAAAGGCACAGAATACAGCCGTCATTTTACTATGCTTTACTGTAAAAATGTCACATTAACTTGCTGTGAAAGTAATGCAACTAGTAGACAGTAAGTTACTGTAAATGTAAAGTCACATATTGTAGTGTGTGTTATCTTATGTTATCATCAGACATCACTGATACACACCTCCAGCTTGGACGGAAACAGTAAGAATGACTTGGTTTTTCCAAAGCGCTCCAAAGCAGCCAACACGTCGCTGCGAGAGACAGAACTATGAATCCCTTTTAGTTTCACCATGGTTGGAGGTGAAGGTTTAACACACTGAGCAAAGAGAGAGAAAAACACAGAATTAGAAAGCAATACGTGGGTAAGACACACACACACACACACACACACACACACACACACCTTAGTCTTTGTGGAAGAACTTGCCTCACTCTTCTGCAGGCTGGGCTTTGCTTCAGAAGGCTTTTTAGTCAACTCCTTCTTTGCTGTAGAGGATGAGGAAGAAGAAGACGAGGTGGTCTTTCCTTCATTGGAAGAGGAGAGGGAGGAGGAGGAGGAGGAGGAGGAGGGGGATGATGATGATGACGATGACGATGACGATGAATGGGACTTCCTCTTGGCTAGCTTGGCAAGTATGATAGGAGCCAGACTTTTAACCAAAGCATCCAGGTCTGACTTGTTTGACAGCAACTGGCCAGCTAGAGGGACGACAAAATAGCAGCGTGTTGGTGTTTGCAAAGTCTCATAAAGAGTCTCTATCGTAAGATCTTTGTTTATGAACTGTTGCCATCTCTTCTCGGGAAAATGTTTTCTACTTGGTTTACAAGTTAACATTCACATCAGAACCACTGGAAAGCGCAGTAAGAATTACTATTAATACTGTAAGAAGCACTGCTTCTTCCTTATAGCCAAACCAAAAGCAAATTAAATGTTTAAACATCACAAAAGCTATTTTAAAGATAAGTCTTTAAAACAATATCTTGCGTCCTTGCAGTGTTTGTAATTTCTCAAACCTGAATTTTCCAGTAGTTTCTCAGCCAAGCTCTTTTTACTGCGCAACCTCTCTCGTCGAATGGACCCCCTACTTCGTGGCGATCGTCTCTCGTCAGTCCTCCTTGGTGGCAATCGTCTTTTGTCACTCCGAAATGAGGGCAATCGTTTCTCATCAGTCCTCCTTGGAGATGATCGTCTCTTACAGCTCTTCCTTGGAGTTGATCGTCTGTTATCTCTCCTCCTTGGCGAGGACCCTTTCTCATCCCTCCTCCTCTGTGACGGTTGTTTCTCAGAGCTCTTTGAACGGGACCGATGGCGGGAGGAGGTAGGACGAGAACCTGACCTGGACCTGATCAAAGGACAGATAAAATCAAATGATGATTTCTGAAGAGGTTAAAACGCTGGTGTTAAGGCAGATATTTTTAAGGTTCTGCAGGAACATATTTGGCAATTTGACAAGCAGGTGGAGAGTGGTATCTCTTCTGTTCACCAATCTTATTGCTCAGATTAGAATTTATGCGTTACAGACCTGCGACTGGATCTGTGCGGCGATCGTGATTGTCTGCTGGGTTTCTCCCGTCTGCCCTCTGAACGATGGTGCCGACGGGGGATGGGTGAGCGGGAACGTGAGCGGGACCCGGTTTTCCGACGATGTCGTGAAGTGGTTGCGGGCGAGGTCTTGGCATCTTTACCTGCAGCACTGTAGAGAGCACTGGACGAGAAAAGCATAATGAACGATAGGAAAAGGAAAATTTGCCAAAAGTCAGCAGAGTACTGGTTCACAACTCACAACAAGTGTTTGAGCACTAAAGCCGGGCAGAAACTGTATGGTTCGACATGCAGTTTGATGGGTGTCACAACATCAGACTAATCACTCGAATAATCCAATAAAAAAAACACAGCATCTGCTCAGCTAAATAAATGTACCTGGTCCTGCTTGGAATCTCACCATCCCACTCCGGGTATCTGTGGTAAAAAACAACAATTGAAAGACGCATATTAAAAGTGCAAAGAGGCTACATTTTGTCAACAAAGACAAAAGAAACGCTACGAGAAAAAAGACTGACCGTTTACGGAGGACCTTGCAGCTCTCAAGGTGAAAGCTGGTGTTCTGGTGGTAGACCCAATCCTAGTAGTCAGAACATCGAACGCACAGCTATTTAGAAAGGCCTAATTATCACCACAACTGTTATCACCAATAACGTCATCTGCCTAAAACTAGACAATGATGGCATAGCTGTCAGTGCTGGAACTTTCCTAAAGGGAGAGACAACAGAGTGCATACTTCCACTCACCTTGATTTTAAGACATTCTGTGTTACACAGACAACAGGTATGTGGAAAGATTCTCGGTGTGGCCGCAGCACCGTCACGCATCATGGCCGCTGTTGGCAGGTCCCTGGAGACTGAAACTTTTGCCGGAGGCTGCTCGCTGGTGGGTGACAGCGTCAGATCAATGATCTCCACCAGGTCTGGGATTGGCTGAGGCAGATCTGGACGACTAACGATGGGGGGAGGACCAACCGGGATGAATGGCAGATGTTGCATGGCACCAGTGATGCTGGGAATGTGAAGAGCAGGGGGAACCGATTCGGTAGCAGAAAAGACTGAAGGCAAAATCGCTTGCCCCGTCTGTGATACTGGCTGCTTCTCTGTCTGCTGCATCTGTGATATTGGTTGCTGCTTATTAATCTTTCCAGTAATTGACCCTTGTGCTTTAGGTTTATTCTGATCCTTATTGCCACTGGTGTCATTACTGCCAATGAGCACAGGGTCCGGTCTGCTGGGTTGCACACCACAGTACAAAGTGCATGGTGGTTGGGTTTTCGTTGTTGACTGGCGATCTGCCTCCGGTTCTTTCAAAGCATCGGGTTTGGAGGCTTCAGACTTGACAGCGCTGATGTCCGTGTCTGTCTTTGGCAGAGAAGAAGAGCTCAGAATTGTTTGGGAACTGTGGTTTGGTTGGATCTCCAATTTTGTCTGATCATTGCTTGGGGGAGCCACAGAGCTCAGTTTTGAACTGTACAAAGAGCTGAGACTGGAAACAGAACTCGCCTGGTCACGTGAAAAACCCAAGGCAGTGCTTTCAACTGTTTTTTGCGGTGGTTCTTCAATATGTCTGCTACTACCATAAGTGTAAATTAGCAACATACTTCCACTGCCACCACAGTTTTCTCTACTGCGACTGATACTTCCAATCTCCTCTCCAGCCCCTCCAGTATATTTGTCACTTTGTCCACAGTCAATCACTTTACTTTGCTTGAGGACTGCGGATGATATTTCCTCCTGGCGCATCCCTACCCCTCCAGAATGACTCATTCTGGTGGGTTGGGGATCGGAACAGGGTTTCGGCTGCACTGCAGTCGTAGCTCTTTTGGTCTTCTCAAGGCGAATTTGCCGCAAGATGTACGGCAGGTTAGCAGGGGTGATCTGGTCTTCAGGGTAGTTGACAAGATGGTCCAAGTCCTCTTTTTCAAGTCCAAAACGCAGAAGGATGTTAGAAGCTAATTCCGACTCTGTACGGGCCGCAGGCTTGTCTGACAATGGATACTCAACATTACCTAACCCTGGAAGAGACTGCATTACATGTTCTCTTTCACTGGAGGAAATTAAAACATTGTCAGCACTTCTTGAAAAAGAAGACGAAGCAGACGTTGAATAAAATTTAGAGGGTTCATCGGCAGTGGGCCTTTCGTAGTTCGATGACCAGTCCGAGGACCTACTGCCACTTTCAACTCCCGGGTATCTACGTCCTAGAGAGGCAGAGGTTGAGGACATTGGGTAGGAGACCATCCCTGTGCCTGAGGAGAGACACTCCCTTTGAATCCTGGTCAAGCGAGAGTCTATGGGCTGTTGCATTGGTTTGCCAAGTAGCCTCACCTCCTCTCTGGCTCTACCAATATGCATGTCTATAGACCTCTCCATGTTCTTGTCTATAATGGCCCTACTCGGTTCAGGCCCGTAGCTTATCGACTGAGGCAGCAGTGACGGAATTATTCCCCCAGAGTTGGCAGAAGTCCCAGAAGAAGTTCCACAAAAGCTGAAGATGGACCCAGGTCCAGCACTAGAAGACGCTCTCTGATGGTCCTTCTCTGCCGGTCCACCGGAGAGTCCATACTGCCCCTGGTTGGAACTTTGGTTCCCGGAGGCATAGGGGTTATACAGGGGATGGGACATGGAGTTTGTGATCTTCGGCTGCCAACTGCCAGAGCGTTGTTTATCTGCGTCGCTGAGTTTTCAGTGGAGCCAGCTGCAAGGAGGCAGCCTGCTGACAGTACAGAAGCGAGCTCCCAGGGAGCCCTCCAAATAAGCGACTTGTTCAGAGCCCTGAAATCGGAAAATGGGCACAATGCTTCAATAGCAATGCAAGGCTGAAAAATAGACAAAGGAAGGGTTTATTGAATGGAAAGGACATCAGCTTCTTGGATGGGTAAAATCCATCACCTGGAAGGTCTTGTATTGAGTTGTCCGCTCTTAGTCCTTAGTGTGCATTCTTGCAATATCAAGAGATCCTGCTCGAAAAGTGGGATCACAAGATCATACAAACATCCTTTATCGTGAAAATTTCTTATTGACAAAAGAAAAGCAAGACAATAATCTCTTACAGTATCGTCACACCTTCATAATGCTCAGAGCATGGTGCACACAGTGAAAGATAAGTTCGAAAACTGCATGTGGTGGAAATTAATGTATTTCCTTGTGAGAAATCAAAAGTATCTCAAGCTCTCTGTCTTTAAGTATTTATTACAGGATAAGATATAGAAAAATGATGAAGAGTGTACAAGTCATCAAACGTGAGCCAATCAGTACAAACAGAGGGACAGAGTCCACGGAACCAACATGGGGCCTCCAAAGTCAATAATTCGAGGAACGACGCTTGGTTTATAATCGCGTGAGGCACCATTGGCCGAGACTCCACAGACAGCGTGCGAGCTACGAGCACGCATACAGGCATTTATGCTCTACGTGCTGTTTGTTGCAGATTCTCCGAAACGCCAGAGCGCGCACAAACAAAATAGTCGGCGAGTGTCATCAGCAAAACTCCATAAACCAACCGCCCCAATGTAGAGGACGTATTGCTATCAACTGCGAACTTAAATCTCACATTCATGGACCTACTTTATCACCTTTACACAATCCCTGTAAATAAATAAGTCAAGAATTAAATGTATTATAATGCAAAGGGTGAATATCCTGGAAACGAATCGGTTGGCAAAATATTTACTTACCTCTTGTTTCTACAGCATTTAAAAAAGTAAAATCCTCAGACATGTTAACAGTGCTTTTCTGAAAAGCCCCATGTTCGCACACAGCGGGTGCTTAGTGTGCACGACCAGCACCGCGACGTCTTCTTCTGGATCGTGCACCACGCATTGTACCAATGAAAGACCTACTAATGTGTCGGAGGATTTTACAAATGCTGGACAAACAGGAGATCTTAAAAATCTAAATTTGAGTAAAACTTTTCCCAGCCAAAATATTGTTTCATGATATATTTGAGTTTACAGTTAATTACAATTCCTCCTTGGCATTGTGGCAGTTGGTTTATGGTGTTCGGTGGTTCGGAGGATACGGCAGTAAACAACGCGTTGCACGTTAACACCTTTCCGCGTCATGGTGCCCTGCACGAGTATCAACGAAGCTGGAGGCGGAGGTCTCGACTTCACTCTGTCGATATGGAGGTGGAGCAGGCTGTTGCATCCAGCAGGTCCGGGTGAACAGGGGGTGCAGGCGGCTGTGTTCAGAGGCATCTGACGTATGGCAGACGTGGAGGATATCCAGCTCCCTGTGTGAGTTAGAGCTGAGGATTCTGGTTAATTCCCTCTCGTGGCCTAGTTCACTATTCTGCTTTGTACCCTTCATTGTCTCACATCGTTCTAACTTGCCTTAAAATCTCTATATTGGAGTCAAACTGCCAAAGTTAGGTAACACTTTATATGAAGGTCAGATCTATAAGGCGTTATAAGCACATTTATAACACATAATGCATTACATGCAAACAAACTAAACTGTCTTTATGGCTTAAGTTATGTCAGTATAACGTGCTGTGTAACAAACACTGTTACTTTTACATGAGGTGTAAAGCATCGTGAAAGCTGCACTTATAATATGGTAGCATCACTATATGTTGTGTATATAGCATCACTATATGTTCGGGCTACAGAGAGAGAGGTGTGCTCGTTTGTCTGTCTGAGCTCAAACTCCCCCATAACAGGAGCATTCCTGAAGGGAATAACAGAACACGAGAAGATGAACAGCGCCGGAGATAAACTCTTCCCAGACAGTTAGCTCATAGCTACAGCAGCTCGGTGCAACTTCAGACCCCCGACCGGGTCGAGGCCTTGACATGATCAAACGCCAACTGTATGTCCTTACTGCAGGCATGAATGTGAAAGCCCCTCCCTGCTTTTGTTGTGTTGATCATGGTCTTCTCTTACCCTTTGTCTCCTACTGCTTACATACAGTCTAAACACGGCTTTGGCTCCCTGTATAAAATGCTCCGTTTTTCATTTGCTGTGGGTCAAACTCAGGACAGTTTACATGTAGAATACACGACAGAAAGCAAGTCGGGCGACATACAGTTGGGATGTAGAGGAAGTGAGTAAAACTAATTATGTCCACTTTAAATATGGCAGACCACCTGAAGCTCCTGAGTCCATTTAAAGGAAAGGGAGTCTCATGTATTTTCTATTTAAAGAACATTGATGATGTTATTTGTCGCTTAATAAATACAAATTATTGTCGCCTGTGTCACATGGTCTTCTTTGTCCTGTAAGTGGAAACTGTTGATGTGTTGCTATAAGTATTTAATTGCAACCTATTTTTATTGTGAGCATTTTTTTAATGTAAAAGGCATTTACAATACGGTGATGGTTAACAGGTTTTTTCACAGACTATTTGAAGACGTTCAGACCATATTTCACTGGTATTTACATTATTCTCTTTCAACTGAGACATGTGGATGTGGATTCTTGGTTAGCACAAATACACAAAGATGACAGAGATAAATAATATCATAGTGCAGGAAGAGGCAGAAAACACAAGGAGTCGATATGACATTTCACAATATTATGAAGAACACAAAATCCACATACATAAGATATGACAACGTAATATTGATGACAAAGTATTTTAACAAGATATGATAACACATTAACAACAACAAAGAAATGATGATTGTGTGTTAGAGTGTGTGTGGATAAGCTTTTAGTTTGAGCCAAGAGTTACACAAGTTCTCTCTCTCTCACACACACACACACACGCGCGTAAAAGAAAGTTTGGCCCAAGAGTTAACAGCTTTTTCTTTGTCAAACTTTCTGCCTCTTGTCTCGTCTTGATGTCATTTCCCCAATTTGCTTTTACACTCTTCCCCATCTTGGTTTTAAAATGCAGTTACTTCTTACCAAGGAACCCGAGATATCTTGTTTTTTTTTCTAGAATAAAAGTAATTCTTTACCTTAGTTGTCTTCTGTTGTCTTCACTACCGTGTTCTCTCCATTACTCCTTTATTGCGAGCTCACAAGCAGCCTCCTCTGCGCCTCTTTGGTGGATTATAAAGTGTCCGTTTGCTGAGGATTCCTGGAAGTAACGAGCTCAACGTGTCTTTTATATTTTGTTATCTTGTTTTGCAAAACCTTCCGCAATGTCTCTCGCTGAGTGCACGCCCACTCTTAAAGGGTGCGCGCGCCTGCGTTTCGCTTGAATTCAAATGCTGCTGCATTCAAGTAGTTTAGGAATAATCGCTTTCTTGCTTCTAAATTGTCCCGGCGTCCGCGTGTTTGTGTCAAATGACCACAGTTCTGCCGGGTTTTTTTAGTCAGCTTCTGTCTGAGCTGCGACAGTTGTGGTTGCTCTTTGGCAGGAAGTCGTTCCTACTTCTGTAACCCAGCTGGCTTCACGCGGCGGTGCGTGGGCACGTTCACTTCCTCTGGTCAATTCTGTTGTGATTTTCTTCTGATTAAAAACTAAAAACATATTGGTATTTAAAGCTTTTTTCGACATTCACAAATTATTCTGTGTCACTTCTACCATTTAACCCTTATCCACGCTATTTAAATACACACATGCCACTTTAATAACATACTTTATTTAACACTCTTTATTTGTTTGTTTATTGTGATGGTACTTTTTCCACTGTGACTCAATAACAAGACCATATATATTTTCTTTTCTTGTTTATTGTAAATTTGTGTATGTACATTGAGAGCGGAGTGGAAACCAGAGACAAATTCCATGTATGCGTATATGGTATTTCTGCTCAGCTTAGATAAGAGGAAGGGGCTGAATGACGATGCAGATATTTCATTGATTAGTTAACTATTGAATGGTCACTGATGTCCAGATGTTTTAATGATGACTCAGCCCACCCCCACCCTCGTGCTCTGCTCCTTTATAAACGGTACACACGTGGTTCTTCCCCTCAGACTGCATTGCACTCTGGAGTGTTTTGTTGAGAGAAACGTATACAAATTGTAAACACATATCATATTGTGCTCGCTTGCAATATGGATGCATTAAAGCTTAGCAATATCACACACACACACACACAGCATTTTGACAGAATGCACATCTTGCCTACAAGCTGCTTCCTGTTTTCGGAAACAGAAAAACCTATTTAGCACATAATGCACACCATGTCCCCAGAGCCTCTTCCTGTGATCACAAACAGAACGCCCTATAACGACTGTCACAACCTGTGGGAGGGATATAACAGAACACATAAATACCAAGCCTCAGTCTCAGACTCATTCTGCTCTTTACAGAGAACATTTAGCCACTCCAAGCCACAGAAGAAGATGATATGTGTGCAGGCAGTCAGCTGCATGGATCACACGTTCCCATCTCACACATTCCACAGAGGGGGGAGGTTAGCAGGAAAGTGAACTGAAAAATAGGCCTTTCAGAGGTGATAAGAGAACTGTTTCGGGCAATGATCTGTTGTCTGCCATATATGGACCTGGCGGCTGCAGGAAGCGCCAAGGAGAAGCAAGTATAGGAGACAACAAAGGATCGGGGGTTCGGACTTTGGCTTTTGTGATGATTCCTGGAGGGTTCATGCATTTTTGTAATCTTTTACCTTACTTTTTGTGACAACTAATGTCCAGTGTTGCTCATCTCTGGTGGGGTCCTTGTAGTCTCCTAAAGGTAAGAGTGCTCTACCCCTGGGATAGGCTGACAGTAAATAAATTAGACATGAAATTTGAATGACATTCCTGTTAAAAACTGAGATTAAGATGGTGTTGTTCAGCATTGTTGTGATTTACTAACTTGGTTGGCTCCGATTGACTTTGAAGCTCTGCAAATGTATTTTGTGTGATGTTGCAGTGTGATTATAATGCTCACACACACGCACACACAAACACACACGCGTTAAGCCATGTGGTCGAGGGAGGGGATAACGGGGATATATTATTACTTTGATGCAATCCCCCCAGAGAAAGATCCTTTCATGAAAATATTCACCATCACGTTTGAATAAACTGTTGACTCAGCAGTCTGAGTAGTCAATAGCTTTTCATTATGAAAGACTAAATGCTGCAACCCTGTCTCTTAACAAATGTTTGGAGGGAAACGTATTTTCTTCCGGATTACGGACTCAGTTTAAAACAATTTGAAACACGTGGTTAATTTAGTAAATTAAAACAAACAAACAAAATAATCTACAAAACTACTTCTTTGATTAACAAAAGTTCCTTCTCCCCTCACTTCATTTGTGTCTCAAAACATATTTTCGTTTTCATTTGTATAGATATTAATAATGCATCTGTTTTTGAATGTATCTGATATATTTGAGAGGGAGGCAGGGTGTTGATATATTCTTAATTAATGTATAATTTATGGTGACAGAAACCGCTTGATCACCACCCATACAGTGTTTAAAATACCATTACGAGCCTATATTAAATGTTTTAACTGGAATTATGTGAGAATAGCACCGCTGTGTGGCAGAATAATGATAACACCCGTATCCTCTCTGCTTTTCACACCCTTATTCATTTAACGAGGAAAGGAAATAAGCCAAAGCAGCATTTAGTCATCTATGTTTATTTGTATGAACTTGTAGAAATACTAAAATTTATTTTATTTCTGTGGCCTTGGTTTCAAAATATTACCGGATTATTACATAACACGACTTGTGAAACCCAAATTTATGGACAAGAATGATTAAGTTAAAAAGCAGGACTTTTATGACGAATATATTCTCAACCTAACCGACATAAAGTGAATGAATTGAGAACTAACTGATCAATTCAGTTTCGGTTCAAATTAATTCTCAACATAATCTATAACTCTTCAATTTTTTTTTTAATGTTTAACATGAACTTTTGATCCAGCCAGTTGGAGCTAATGTAAACAAAGTAAGAGCCCTGCTACCAAAAACTCTGAACACAAGATTGGTTGAGTAGTTTATTTGAATGCCGACAAACAGTGTTGGAAAGTAACTAAGTTTATTCACTCGAGTACTGTGCTTAAGTATGATTTTGAGGTACTTGTAGTCTAGTATTTCCATTTTTTAAACTTTATAGTAGCCAATATTGCTCTTTTTACTCCACTCGTTTGCAGATACACAAAATAAATACTTCATATTGTAATTAAAAAATAAGCTCCACCTTTATGAACTGCAATATTATAGTGATGCTTACACATTAATTTATTCATAATTATAATCCAGTGACATCATTATTACTATTTTGACGTGGGCCAGTCTGGTACTTTAGAGAGGCCTATAGTTTGATGATAAGTAGTTTCTACTTATGGACTTTTACTTTTATGAGCGAAGGAAACTCGGGTGTCCTTCGCAGAAGTGTTTTTGGCACACTTAAACAAATAAAAGCTGTGTGACACACAGCTGTAATGATCTCAAACCGCTGGACTCTACAAATGTAACAGTTCCTTTTTGTGTTCATACATTTTATACACTGCTCAAAAAAATAAAAGGGAACACTTAAACAACACAATGTAACTCCAAGTCAATCACACTTCTGTGAAATCAAACTGCCCACTTAGGAAGCAACACTGACAATCAATTTCACATGCTGTTGTGCAAATGGAATAGACAACAGGTGGAAATTATAGGCAATTAGCAAGACAGACACCCCCAATAAAGGAGTGGTTCTGCAGGTGGTGACCACAGACCACTTCTCAGTTCCTATGCTTTCTGGCTGAAGTTTTGGTCACTTTTGAATGCTGGCGGTGCTTTCACTCTAGTGGTAGCATGAGACGGAGTCTACAACCCACACAAGTGGCTCAGGTAGTGCAGCTCATCCAGGATGGCACATCAATGCGAGCTGTGGCAAGAAGGTTTGCGGCGTCTGTCAGCGTAGTGTCCAGAGCATGGAGGCGCTACCAGGAGACAGGCCAGTACATCAGGAGACGTGGAGGAGGCCGTAGGAGGGCAACAACCCAGCAGCAGGACCACTACCACCACCTTTGTGCAAGGAGGAACAGCAGGAGCACTGCCAGAGCCCTGCAAAATGACCTCCAGCAGGCCACAAATGTGCATGTGTCTGCTCAAACGGTCAGAAACAGACTCCGTGAGGGTGGTAGGGCCCGACGTCCACAGGTGGGGGTTGAGCTTACAGCCCAACACCGGGCAGGACGTTTGGCATTTGCCAGAGAACACCAAGATTGGCAACTTCGCCACTGGCGCCCTGTGCTCTTCACAGATGAAAGCAGGTTCACACTGAGCACATGTGACAGACGTGACAGAGTCTGGAGACGCCGTGGAGAACGTTCTGCTGCCTGCAACATCCTCCAGCATAACCGGTTTGGCGGTGGGTCAGTACTGGTGTGGGGTGGCATTTCTTTGGAGGGCCGCACAGCCCTCCATGTGCTCGCCAGAGGTAGCCTGACTGCCATTAGGTACCGAGATGAGATCCTCAGACCCCTTGTGAGAACATATGCCGGTGTGGTTGGCCCTGGGTTCCTCCTAACGCAAGACAATGCTAGACCTCATGTGGCTGGAGTGTGTCAGCAGTTGCTGCAAGACGAAGGCATTGATGCTGTGGACTGGCCCGCCCGTTCCCCAGACCTGAATCTAATTGAGCACATCTGGAACATCATGTCTCGCTCCATCCACCAACGCCACGTTGCACCACAGACTGTCCAGGAGTTGGCGGATGCTTTAGTCCAGGTCTGGGAGGAGATCCCTCAGGAGACCATCCGCCACCTCATCAGGAGCATGTCTAGGCATTGTAGGGAGGTCATACAGGCACGTGGAGGCCACACACACTACTGAGCCTCATTTGGACTTGTTTTAAGGACATTACATCAAAGTTGGATCAGCCTGTAGTGTGTTTTTCCACTTCAATTTTGAGTGTGACTCCAAATCCAGACCTCCATGGGTTAATAAATTTCATTTTCATTGATAATTTTTGTGTGATTTTGTTGTCAGCACATTCAACTATGTAAAGAACAAAGTATTTAAGACTATTTCATTCATTCAGATCTAGGATGTGTTGCTTAAGTGTTCCCTTTATTTTTTTGAGCAGTGTATATTTAAGATATCAACTCATACTTTCTGCCATTCACAGTCTATGTAGCTCCTCATAAGGCTCTGTTCTAACCACATTTCTGAGACATTCACCTGATACTTTTTACTGAATGTAGGCTACATCCAATTCAACCGCTATAATCCTTTACGTTTACTCTGCTCGTTTCTTCTCCTCGCCTCCTCCGCTTGTATCTCCAATGGGTTTGACTAAGACGCAAGGAGTTGAGGAAAGAAATCAAGCAAGGAACAAAATCGGGGAATGAGAAAGACCCATAGTAGTTATTCCCAAGGCATCAAATAAGATGTAAATTAATGAAATTCACCAAATTCAGACAGCGACACAGGGTGGAAGCAGGTGGCAACTTCCGGTTCTGCCGAGTGAAGCCAATGCGGAAGTGTCTTAAAACCTGCATTCTCTCTAGTGTCCACCAGGGGCGACTCCTCTGGTTGTATAGAAGTCTATGAGAAAATGACTCTACTTCTCTCTTTATTTATTACCTCAGTAAACATTGTAAACATGAGTTTATGGTCTCAATCTCTAGTTTCAAGTCTTCTTCAATACAGCATGATGTTCATTTAGTAAATCATTTGCATACATTTGATAGGTCACTGCAGCGCTTTGCTCGACATTTTGTTCCGGCGAATATTGAGCCAGAATAAACTGTCTTTCTGCTCAATCCTGCGTTTTGTTGTTGCTTTATCTCTCTGCATTAACACTCCTGCTGCTTCTTTGGCTGAAGTTTTTTAAGGTATACCTAAAGTCAGTCTGAACGTTGCCTTAGGCTACATCCACACAGCTACGTTTCCGCTTTGAAACGTATATCTTTTGCTATGTTTATGCGTAGCGTCCACACTACTCAGTCATTACGTGTCTGTCCCTGATTTGTCATGCCGCCGGAAGCCATAAAACTTTGTATAAAAAGTAAATTTGATGCGTTTGTGTGTGAGAGAGAGAGAGAGAAGAGAGAGAGAGCAGCAGTCTTGTAACAAAGTTTGAAAAATAAAACTTGAAAGAATGATCCCAATCGCTTCCACGCAGTGAGCCAAACAACTTATTAACAAAACATTGGTATCGGATTAGTACTCTGTATCGGCCAATATCCAAAGCCAAGGTATCGGTATTGGGTCTGTCTGTTTGAGTATCGAAAGGAAGATCTTAAGTATCAAGCCAGACCTTTTATTCGTCAAGAGTACTGTAATACTGCCCGGTTTACGTGAATAGTGATGTGATATTCGTTTTCAGGCGTGTTAGTACGGACGGAAATCATTTCTAAAACAATGCAGATGTGGACGTAGATCGTTTTTAGTTGAAAAAGTGTGGATGTAGCCTTAATCTATGCCTCAACACTTGTTTCTGTTTGTTTCTACGGTGTGTCCGAAATGACTTACTACTTACTATACAGTGTTCCATATTGTGAGTCGTAAGCTACCAGCATTAAGTGCAGTGTTTTCAGGATTGTCTGAATCTTTCGGTATGATCTAATGTCACCTCCTGAAATGGAAATTGCGGTTCTGGTCTGTTACATTTTTGCAATGTGCATTGTCTGCTGGTGCCAGTCTCAATCCACCAGAGATAAACATGGAAGAAAATAAATGAGTTTGTGTCTGTTCCGGATGTGTCCAGTGACCTTGTTTTCTATTTGTTATCTATGTTTTGTTGCCTTTGCCCTCTCTGTACTTTCTTGCTAGTGAACACTCAGAAGTGAAATAGACTGAATTAATGTGCGTCATACAGCGCCAGAGTGGACGACTTCAAGACAAGACCATCCAGATGTTGGAATTAACCCATCCAAGAAGCTGAAGTCCAATCCCATTCAATAACCCCATCCTTTGTTTGTTTTTTTGTTGTTGTTTTTTTTTACTTTTCAGCTTTGCATTGCTATCGGAGCATTGTGCCCCTTCTCCCGCTCCACGGCCCCTAACAAGCCCCTTGCTTGGAGGGCTCCACAGGAGCTCGCTCCTGATTGGCCAGCAGGCTGCCTCCTTGCGGCTGGCTCAACTGAAAGCCCAGCTAGCAGTGACGCAGATAAACAACGCTCTCGCTGTTGGCAGCCGAGCCGCGACCTACATACCCACAACGCCCCCCTCCCCAACTGTTGCGGCCATCAATCTCCTTCACCTTCTGAAGATCGCAAACACCATGTCCCATCCCCTGTACAACCCCTATGCCTCTGGGAACCAAAGAGCCACCCAAGGGCAGTATGGACTCTCCGGTGGACCGCCAGAGAGGGACCCTCGGACGGCAGCTCCTCGCCTTGGACCTGGGTCCAGCTTCAGCTCTCCTGGAACTTCTTCTGTGACTTCTGCCAACTCTGGGGGAATAATTCCGCCACTGCTGCCTCAGTTGATGAGCTACAGGCCTGAACCGAGTAGGGCCATTATAGACAAGAACATGGAGAGGTCTATAGACATGCATATTAGTAGAGCCAGAGAGGAGGTGAGGCTTCTTGGCAAACCAATGCAACAGCCCATAGACTCTCGCTTTACTGGCACTCAAAGGGAGCTTCTCTCCTCAGGCTCAGGGATGGTCTCCTACTCAACGTCCTCAACCTCTGCCTCTCTAGGACGTAGATACCCGGGAGTTGAAAGTGGCAGTAGCTCCTCGGACTGGTCATTGAACTACGAAAGGCCCACTGGCGATGAACCCTCAACATTTTATTCATCGTCTGCTTCGTCTAACTATGCAAGCGGTGTTGATGGTAGGTTTAATGCTTCCAGTGACAGAGAACGTGATATGCCGTCCATTCCAGGGTTAGGTGATTTTGACAAACCCTCTCCGGACAATCCTGCGGCCCCTACAGAGCCCAATCGACAAAAGTACACCTCTGAGTCAGCTTCTAACATCCTTGTGCATTTTGGACTTGAAAAAGAGGACTTGGAACATCTCATCTCGTATCCCGAAAACCAGATCACCCCTGCTAACCTGCCGTTCATCTTGCGGCAAATTCGCCTTGAGAAGACCAAGAGAGCTACGACTGATGCTCAGTCAAAACCCCGTCCCGAACCCCAACCCACCAGAATGAGTCATTCTGGAGGGGCAGGGATGCGCCAGGAGGAAATATCGCCGGCTGTTCGCCAGCCGAGTAATGTGATTGACTATGGACATACAGGCAAATATACTGGAGGGGCTGGAGAAGAGATTGGAAGGACCAGCGTCAGTAGAGATAACAGCGGTGGGAGTGGAAGTATGTTGCCAATGGACACTTACAATAGTAGCAGACACGGTCGAGAACCACTGCAAAAAACAGAGGTGAAAAGCAGTGGCTTGGGTTTTTCTCGTGACCAGGCGAGTTCTGTTTCCAGTTTCAGCTCTTTGCACAGTTCAACACCGAGCTTTGTTTCTCCCCCAAGCAATGATCAGACTAACCGATTGCAAACCCAAACAATCGCCAACCCTTTCTATCGGAAAGACACGGACATCAGAGCTGTCAAGTCTGAAGCCTCCAAACCCATTCCTTTGAAAGAACCAGAGGCAGATCGCCAGTCAACAATGAAAACCCAACCACCATGCACTTTGTTACGTGGTGTGCATCCTAGTAGACCTGGCCTTGTGCTCATTGACAGTAATGACACCAGAGGTATTAAGAACCAGAGTAAAACCCCAGGACAGGGGTCAACCATTGCTGAGCAGATGCAGAAGCAGCCAGTGCAGCAGACGCAGCAGATGCAGAAGCAGCCAGTGCAGCAGACGCAGCAGATGCAGAAGCAGCCGGTGCAGCAAACACAGATGCAGAAGCAGCCGGTGCAGCAGACGCAGCAGCAACCGAAGCAGCCAGTACCACAAGCCATGTGGCCTCCATTTTTTCCTGCTGCAAAGTCAGTTCCCCCTGCATCTCACATGCCCAGCATCACTGATGCCATGCAGCGTCCGGTGTTCATTCCTGTTGGTCCTCCCCCCATCGTTAGTCCTCCAGCTCTGCCTCAGCCAATCCCAGATCTGATGGGCTTCATTCATGGGACGATGCCACCTTCCAACAGGCGGCCTCCGGCAAAGGCTGCAGTCTCCAAGGGTCTGCCAACAGCGGCCATGATGCATGATTATGCAGCGGCTTCACCAAGACTCTTTCCACATACCTGTTGTCTGTGTAACAGAGAATGTCGTCGCATGAAGGTGAGTGGAAGTCTGCACTCTGTTCTCCCTCCCTTACGAAAAAATTGTGGGATATTTATTTCAATATCTAAAATGTTTGTTCTTTTTTTCATTCTGAAATTCTATTTTATATTAATTTTTTTACTTTTTGGGCAAACTAAGGGGGGTTAAGGGCGATACTTTCAAGACTATGTGAAAGGTTTTTGTAAAATATTGAAACAAGGTTGGATTTCAAACTTTGGGAGTGATTTCTTTTCTTTTTTTACGTTAACTAATTTGAATGTACTTCAAACTAAATCTTTTTTTTACCAAAAAGCTCCAAGGATGCCAGTCACCGCTAACTGTTTTTTGTTAATCTGTAATTCAAGTTTACACTGTGATTTACGTGTGATTTGACTGACTTAAAACTGTTGTGAGTACATCATTGTCGTGTTTAGACAGATGAAGATCAAGGTCTTTGGTATACGACTGTCACCATTATGACTAATGACTGAAGCATAATTTGATTCAACAATACGCGACCAACTCCTGGGATGGTTGTTGAAAATGGAACTACGGGCTTAGAAGACCTGACCAGCAAGAATCTGCACATCTGAAGAACTAGAGCATCAAATGATGATGGAAGAGGACTGTTTTCCTTCTTTCTCTGTTTTTGGGGCTTTTTTCCCAGATTGTATATTCAGTGAAAATACTACGAAACAGTTGTTAGTTATAGAGATGTACTGATGCCTATACTGATATTGGATACCAATTTATTTTTTTTTTTTTTAAATAACATTTTAGTACATAAGACATTGCTATCGGATTAGTACTCCGTATCGGCCAATATCCGAAGCCATGGTATCGGTAATAGGTCTGAAAAAGTTAGGTCAGTGCATCCCTAATTTGTATATTTTATTCTTACCATTGGAGCTATTAGTAATACACTTTGTTACATCAATTCATTTCATATCGAACAGTAGATATACATTTTTTGTAATATTGGTAAATATGTAATATTATGAAGCCAAGCTCCTTTTTTTGTACAAAACATTTCCAACCATGAACCTGAAGTCATCAGCATCATACTCCACAAACCACACAATCGGCAAGATTTTGTTCGACCATTTTTCCTTTTATTGACATTTCACATTTTGTCAAAAAAAAAGACCCACCAGCCCCCTCCTCGTCCCAGTTTCCACATCTTCCTGCCGACTCCAGAGCACAAGACTGAAGAACCAGACATCGCACTACCAAGAACTTAAGAAGAAAGCTTAGTTTTGGTTGCTTGTTACTGGCACTCCTGTATTTGTTATGTCATCATAATGAATTGTTGCTCTTGTACTCAAAGTTCACAAAAGTCTGCTGTGATTGTAAAGAAGAGAGCTGCCAACATTTCTGAAGGATTTAATCCATGTACTACACGTGTATTTCTCACTGCTTGATTTAAACACTTTATTTACTGCTGGCGAGTGTCGCAGCTCTTCACTTGGGCTCAAGCTTGTTCTTGTTCTTCAGATGACTGCTGTAAAGACTCCTTTAATGTCAACACGCATAACACAAACTGTACACAATAGCAGAGAAATTGAATTGGACACTTGGACTTGAGAGACTCAACAGACCAACAAAGAGGAGGAGCTGTTTCTTTATGGCTGCTGTAATGTTGAATAAAAGATATCTGTTGTCAGACAATCGCATGAGTGAGTTGATATTGACAGCTGATAGCAGTTTGGATAATAGTGAGGTCTATCTAATGCTGTTTGTTGTTCCGGCTACTAGGATTGGATCTCCCACCAGAACACCAGCTGTCACCTTGAGAGCTGCAGAGTCCTCCGAAAACAGTCAGTCTTTCGTCTTTTAACTTTTCCCTATAAAGATCTCGTTACTTTTTGATAACCATTGCCTTTTGCAAAGCTAGTTAAACATCTGTCAGGGTTGATATCTGGTTGTTTAAGGTACCTCCTCTGGTTGTTCTATAGTTGTATTCTGCAGAACCCGTACTATTCCGTGATACTCTCCGACATTAGGAGCATTACTTGAGTACGACTGCTTTATGGCTGCCTACCTCACCGCAGAAACCTTTGGCTGTGTTGTAAACATCTGTCCTCTTTGCTGTTTTTAATAGGTGTGTTTCATTTGTGTTTTTTTAAACAGATACCCGGAGTGGGATGGTGAGATTGCACTCAGGTAAATTTGATAAGCTTGGCAGACGCTGTAATTTGATTGTTTATGTACGTTGCATTAACTCGCACAACACATTTTAATTGGTGTTTCTGCACGATCACAAAGTGGCATGGTAAGAATCCACCAATCGGTCATATCTGGACAATTGTACAAGCAGTCTTGGAACTAAAATACGATTCCATCAGCATTAACACAAGCTCACTACAGTTTGTAACAGATATTTTGACAGCAGCAATGTTGGAAATCAGACTGGAAACTGGTCATTAGTGTGATTGGTCAGGCTTCATGGACCCCCCCCCCCTCAAAAATGTTGCCCTATTCGACCAATTCAGGGCTAAAATCCAACCGACTCCATCAAACATGTTGCAACCACGATCAGTTAGTGAACCAGTACCCTGTTGATTTTGGAAAACTTTGCTTTCCTTATGCTTTTCCCATCCCTTGCTCTCTTCAGCGCTGCAGGTAAAGATGCCTCGCCCTCAGCCTCTTCACAGACTTCTCAGCATCGTCAGAAAGCCAGACATGGAAGCCGCTCCCGCTCGCCTAGTCCCCGTCGGCACCACCGCTCAGAGGGCAGACAGGAGAGACACAGTCGGCGATCACGATCACAATCGCCGTACAGCTCCAGATACACTCACAGGTCTGATGCATAAATTTTAAAACAAGCAATAAGTGAAATGACCAAATATGTTCCTGCAGAACGTTTTAGAATATCTGCATCAGCATTTTAACCTCTTTAGATTTAGTCCCCCCCTTGAGAAATCTAAACTTTATATTTTTAAGATTGTCATTAGATGTGATCTGAACTTTTACCAGATCTCGTTCTCCTTCCCCGCGGTACGACCGCCCTACTTCCTCCCGCAATTGGTCACGTTCAAGAAGTCCTGAGAGACAATCTTCACCACGGAGAAGAGATGATAGATGGTCGTCTCCGAGGTGGAGCGACGAGAGATCGCCATCGAGAAGGAGCGACGAGAGACAATCGCCATCGAGAAGGAGCGACAAGAGACGGTCGCAATCAGGGAGGAGCGATGAGAGACGATCCCCCAAACGAAAGTCGAGCAATACAGACAACTTGGTTAAGAAACTACTGGAAACATCAGGTTTGAGAAATGACAAACATTTTAATGACTTAACACCGTGTTTAAAGACTTGTTTTGTGTCGTAACGTACCTGCGTCTGTTAACGCTTAATGTACAGGTGAATGCCACCAATACAACCTGTTTTTGTGGTTTCTTCATGATTTTATGCTCTTTAACTTTAAATGTTTTCATCTTACAATAAAGACGCAGTTTGAGACTTCGCAACCACCAAAACGCTGCAATGTTGTCTGACACTCTTTTTCGTCTTTGTCCCTGTAGCTGTCCAGTCTCTGTCAAAACAGTCTGACCTGGAGACTGTGGTTAAAACTCTGGCTCCCGCCTTAATGGCCGAGCTAGCCAAGATGAAGTCCACATCGTCGTCATCCTCCGCTTCCATTGGAGGAAAGCCCTCCTCGTCTTCTGCCTCTTCCTCCACCAAAAAGCCTTCTAAAGCAACTCCCAGTCTGAAAAAGAGCGAGGCAAGTTCTTCCACAAACATCGCTTCTCTTCTTAGAGATTGATGTATTTTTGTACATGGTCCCTGATATAAATACACTGAACTTAAAAAACTAACACGGATGCATTATATTTAGTCTAAACGTTTGTGTTTTTCTCTCTCTTTGCTCAGTCTGATGAATCTTTGCTACCAACCGAGGTGGAACTGGAGGGGGTTAATTATTATATCCCTCACAATGAATTGTTGCTTGCTGTGAAGAACTTTGGAAAAACCAAGTCGGTTGTAATGTTCCGGTCCACAGGGAAGGTATGTATAGAGAGAGGCTTGTATCTGCTGATGCTTTGCCTTTTCATACTATTCAAAATATAGTGCTGTTGGCTACATTTTGTCTCGACAATCAAACCATCAGGCACAGAAAACTGTATGCAGGCCCAGACACATGCTTATGTTCCCTGAGAGTATGATGGGTCATGCAAATCTGCGCAGGAACAATTTCTTGACATCAGTGATGTAAAAAAAGTCAATTTTAAAGTGAAAATGCCATCAAAAATACCCCACACTAATGTGACCGCCGCGTACGTTCTCCCGAGCGGACTAGCAGATTCCAAGCTGAAGCAGTTAGTGGTGGTGAGCTGTCAATGTTAGGTGTGAGTATATAGTCCTGAAGGTTGTAGTAACGCATGGATATGTATGTTTGTGTGTGTGCATTTGTAGGCAATCGTGAGATTCTATAAAGAGGAAGACGCAAAGAAATTGATGAGCATAAAGAGCCTCGATGTGAAAGGAATTCAAATCACTGTTGTTGGAAGAAAGGTATTTTTAAACTTTTTGTCTTTCTTTCTGTGTCTAGGAAATATACATAATATGTCAGCTATAGTGTGGTCAGCATGACGGTCAACCTTCCTCTATATTCTCATTTGAATTTCATTCCTTATAAAAAAAAATGTTACTTTTCGAATTACATTCAACTCCCGAAATTCGCATCAACAGCCCTAGTTGTCACATTGTCAATTAGCAGATTAATCTGAAATAACTTTTTTTATTTTTTTTTTTTTTGTTTCCAGGAGACTGTTTCGAAGGAGCAAAATAAGCCTCCCCGGAAGTAAGATATGTTTCACACTGACCTCTTTTTAACAGTGATGAACTTGTTTTTGTCAGTATATTATTATAAATATTCAGTTGCTGCCAAAATGTGTCCTCAGTGGGGGAAAAATGTCAATTTTAGGGAAATGTACCTATTGTCAAAAAATCAGCATCCGTTTTTGTGGGAATTGAGTAAAAGTCATTCCAGGATCTCAACCTGTGAAGTATAGCACTATTTTATAGTGAAGACCACTTGAAACCCTGACATTGACTTTGTGCCTTGAACCTTGAATTTCTCCATTTCCTCCTACATGACCCATGTAACTGTCTTTTGTTCACAGAAAACCTTCCAAGTTCAGCAACGCCACACCTCAAACCACTTCCACTGCTCTTCTCTCTACTCCTAAAAAGCCTCCACCTTCACCTTCTGGAGCCAAAAGAGCTACAACAGGCAAACTCCAGAAAAGTGCAGCGAAAGGCTCAGTTAAAGGCTTGGCGACCCAAGCAAAAACGAAAAACGTCCCAGGCAAGCCGACAAATAAAATGATAAAAACAGGAAAGTTGCCTGTGACAGGACGTGGGAGAAGGCCCGTGAGAAAGGCCGTGGTAAAGCAAAAAACATCACCAGGATCCAAGTCCACAACTCCAGAAAATCAGCCTGATGTAGAGAAATCCAAACCAAAGGAATCTGAAACCAAGGTTCAAGAAGCTGTGGCAAAAGACCCAGCCAAGGTTGTTGAAAAAGAACTTGATGACGCAAATGACGCCAAAGTTGCTGAACCAATGGAGATTGGTGAAATGGGAGTTGAAGTGGTGGAGCCAATGGAAGTTGGAAGTTGTGCTAAGGAAGAAGAAAAACCGACAAATACGGAGGCTGCACCAGAAAGTTCAGCAGACAAAGCCAGTGAGAGTCAACCATCTAAGAGTACAGTTGATACAAGGCCAACAGAAACCTCTGTCACAGCTGTACCACACCTCCAGCAGAGCACCTTGTCAGAACCAGAGTCCACTGCACAAGGACCGAAGACTAAGACGGAGGCTTCACACATGACAGAGCAGGCTGCAGGAAGCTCTACTGAAGCCACTGTGGAGGAAGAGCTGCCACGTGGAGGGACAGAAACAATGGAAAAAGGTATGTTGGAGACCTTTTTGAATGGATGGATGGTGAAGAATGTTGAAGTGTGACTTGTGAAAACCTTATACCTCCAAAGAGTCAACTTTAATGAACAAAGTAAAACAACCTCATGGTCAGCTTTGCGGCTATGCATTTTCTTTTAGCTCTTCCAATGCTTTTTAAAAATGGTTTACTTAGCTTATATAGTAGAATATTCTCAAACTGAGGACACTTCATCTTTCAAATGATCTGACAAAGTCAAACATATGTTTTTCTTTGGACAGCCACACTTTGAACTGATTAGAAGTGAATTAGTATAACATTTTGTTTGCATAGGGTTATCTTTTGCTCAGCCATCTAACCTGCAAGATTATTATTATTATTATTACAAAGAACTTGTTCAATCCCACAGAATTTGACTGTCAAGAAAAATCTACAGAGGCTGCACCAGAAAGTTCAGCAGACGCATCCAGTGACAGTAAACCATCTAAGAGTCCAGTTGATACAGAGCCAACAGAAACCCCTGTCGCAGCTGTACCGCACGTCAAGCAGAGCACCTTGTCAGAACCAGAGTCCACTGCACAAGGACCGGAGACCAAGACGGAGGCTTCACACATGACAGAGCAGGCTGCAGGAAGCTCTACTGAAGCCACTGTGGAGGAAGTGCTGCCAGGTGGAGGGGCGGAGACAGAAACAATGGAAAAAGGTATGTTAGAAAAACATTTTCTTTAGCTTCAGCAATGAATTTATAAAATATAATGTTTACATAGGGTTATCTTTAGCTCATCCATCTAACCTCGCCAATTATTTTTAGTTGGACGATATCTCCGAAATTGTTCAAGAGTTCGTTTGAAATCGGTAGAAAGTTAGGCTTTGGGCTGTGGTTACTTTTTGGTATGAATCTGCATCCAGCAGATATACCTAAAGGAAGAAGGGCAGATGATGACGGTCTTTCAAAATGCTGACATTCATCTTAATTAAATGTGGTCTTCTGTAGATCCTGAGATGGCAGTGGAGACACAAGCAGATGCAGAATCAGCCATGGAGGCTTCCGAAAGCAACAAGCCGCCTGTTACTTGTCTGACTTTTGGGGAGATGATAGAAAAGCACCTGTATCGACAAAAAATACGTAAGAAATCCAAGAAAATGTCTGCATGTGATCGTAATTTTACGGTCTTTCTCTAATTTGTTTCTCATTTTCTTTGTCTCTCCTTCACAGCGTGCTTCAAGTGGAAAACCTGCCTCTCGCAGAAGGTAAGTTTCCTCAAATGACTTGTATGAAGCGCTGTATCTACACATGTACTTTTATAAAGCTATAAGGATACAGGTCTTTTCTATAAAAGTGGCTATGAAAAAAGTAGGTTTTGGTTCGGTTTTGCCCTCAGATGAAGCACAAATAAGCGTTAAAATGACACAAATTTCCTGAATGAATGCTTGTGGAACGTAATATTGTACAATGAATCTGCAGGTCTTGAAAAGCCTTAAAGTGAATTGTGCACAGAGAGCTGTTCCCTTTCCTCCTCTGCTATATGCTAGAATGTTAACTTGCATAACCATCATCTTTCCTACTTAGTCCTTTTCTCACTAGCGTTCGCCTTAGAGGGTGAAGCCTCTATGAAATACAATGTTAGTTACATACTGTAACTCCTGGTTCTATGAGTATAGAGTTAGGAGCCGATTGTCCGGTTTCAGCTCAACATATACACAAGGTGAGACTGAGCTGGGGCACATGTAGAAGGAATATACCCACTAGCTATCCTTAGACAGCCTTTACTCATAGAATCTGGAGTTACAGTATGTAACTAATATCCACGGCCATTTGTTTTGTAATGGGGGGCAGACTTTCACATTTATAAGGCTGGCCCCGCTTTGCTGCGGTTCAGATGCAATGGGACACCAGCCCTTTTCCATCACAACTCAACTACCCAATAACAGCCCCAAACCTGGATACGATATGAATAACAGAGCAGTCAGCGACTACTGGCTAGAATGCTTATGCTCTTCACCGAGCCATGGTTAGATAATGACTGCAGTGCAACAGTTCTTATTAAAGCAGCGTTTTTAAATCACCAGAAAGGGTGGTGGGTTATGTTCTTCATGCAATGATGAATCTTTATTTACCTTAATTTTCCCAGTTTACTTCACCTGATAGAAAGCTGTTGCTCATCACCAACCTGCCGGAGTATCACGACGGCTGCTACACAGAGGAAGACCTCGCCAAACTGCTCATGCCACTTGGCTTTCAATATGCAGAAGACAGCATCTATGTTATTCCTCAGACGTGCATGGTAGGCACCAGGCTATGAATCTGCATCGTTTTGGTTTAGCAATCACATGTTTCTGCTGTTGTTGCTTTTTAGTCAAATAGTTTGTTTTAGTGTTTTTTGTGTTGCATGGTTGTAAAGCCTTTTTTCTTCCATTTTTTTAAAGAGTTGGGCAACTTTTCAATTTTTTAAAGTTAATTTGTGAACTCATTTAGCTTGAGATTTTTTGCATTCTTATTATATATATACACTGTTGGTGCCTATATGAGACTGATTTTAAACACATTGAAATAGTAATGAAAAAGTACCTTGAACAAGTAGTAATACATCTTTGTCTCTGGTTTTCCTTAGGCCTTCGTCTTAATGCCGGAATTCAAGGATGTGATTAAGATATTGAAACTACATAAGGGCATTCATTTCAAAGGGTCGAAACTTGCTTTCCATGTTGTCTCTTGCAGCTTTGAAATGGCACCGGTAAGCACGTACACTATTCTGCTTTTATTGACTGTTTTTATAGAAGAAGTCAATTTAATACTAGAGAAATAATAGAGAAAACATGCATATTTATAAAAAACAAGCACATTGGTTAAAACCAAGGGGCAACCTCTGGGTCTCAAAAGTGAGTTCAACCTTATCCTTCAACAAATGTAATGTATACGCTCTGTATCGACATTAGATGAGTGTGATGGGTTGTTCTTTGTCTTCTAAAAATGCCTACTCTGATTTCTGTTTTAGTTCTTCTTTTATAAAACACTGATGAAGCTGCTGCGTTTTGTAAGTACTATGCACACACGCACTTAATTCTATCTCCTTTTTCTAAGCTACACTTGGCCTTTAAAATAGGTTCTTAATGTAACTTTTGTGTGTTCGGATGCCTTTGAATTTATCTTAACTCCTGCGATTGTCTCTCTCAATACATTTAACATAACTACTGGAAACTGTCAACAGTTGAAGGGAATACAGGAAACCTAATTAAGATATTGTCTTTTACTTTGAAAAACTGTGTCTCTCTGTGTAATTTTTGGTTTTGATTGTTCAATTCCTGTTCTTGATGCAGCGGGGGGTTGTTGATGCATCAAAAATTGTCTACATCCAGAACATTTCATGGAGTGAGACCAGGGAGCTCAGACAATCTTTGAAAAAAATGCAGTTTGTCAGGAACTTCTTTCCTCTCCTAAACAAGGTATAAACAAACCCATACAAGTGTGACTTTAAAAAAAGACTTCCTGTTATTCTGACTTATCACTTCTTCATGTGTTCCAGGTATTTGTTGAATTTGAGGCCCCTGTCCATGCTGATCGGCTCGGAGTTTGGTACAGTTTCCTGAAACAAGCCCCTGATCATAAACTCTACAGGCTGGCCATACCATCCGTTGGGAATCGTGTTTTACACTGTAAGTTTGTTTTTCTTCAAATTTGGCGCAATCATCCACTTGGAGTCAAGAATAAACCGATACGATTTCTGGTTGTCAAAGGTCGAGGTCACTGGGACAAGTCAAGAATTCACAAAAGCCAATTATGACAATTTCACATAAAAGTCTAACAGGATAAATGATGAAGTGATGCAATTTGAATGAATGTAAACTGCAATTTGACTGATTAGCAAAGGCATACATCTGGGAGGCCGAAATTCTAGTTCACTTTGGAAAGATAACTTGATGCATAAGGTTAATTGGTGTCCCCTCTGACAATGCGCATTGGAATGAAGTTGCTGTCTTCTGTTGCCAGTCCATCATTCTGGGGCAGAGCCTTGTGGCTCAGACCTTTGCGACGTCAAAGGGTTTTCATGTTGGCACCCTCCTTACCACTGTTTTGTTGATTGGCCCATGGCATCTCAACAGTGGAACCACCATCCTTGAACGACACCCCCCTCCCCCTCTCCCGAAGGTCTACCTACCTCTTAGATCTGCCCTCCGTCTCCTCTGCCAGCCTAGTTGCTCCATTGCTCACTCGTCTTAAGCCAGTGGCACCTGGATGCTGTCTAGTGTCTGTTTTGTCACTCGTCAAATATATTCAATCGTGACACTTTGCCTGTTTTTGGTTTTGCAGTACCAAAATCTCCTGGGAATGCTCTGCCTCCCCTCAAGGATCTTATTCGCGGGGCAAGGATCCTGCATACGAAATGTAGCCTTCCGCAGGACACTCTTGGACCATTTTGGGTCACGCTGAGATCTCATCCCTTTGTGTTCCCTACCAAGTCTCCTTGGTTCATCATCCCAAGTAAGGAAGCAATTCTTTCAACACATTGACTTTTGGGATCTAAATGAAAGAAGTGATACTGCCAAATGTACCATGTTACAACGTATTCAAGTAATTGTATTTGCTTATGTTTACTTTTAACTCCAAGAGTACCAGACACTCAAAGTACTGCCTGATATTGAGGTAAGCCCATTTCAGTAAAACTTTCCTATTTTATGTATCATATCAATAATTTAAGCTTATCAACTTTATAGTTTTGAACTATGAACTTCAGTTTTTGGATCAAGTAGCTTGTGAAAAATGAGGTGTGTCAACACATCAATCAACATTTTGGTAATTAAAAGTATCACATTGCACTGTATATTGGTGGATGTCCATCTTAAGGGAGCCAGATTGGAATCGTGGCCAAAAAAACTAAAGTGGGACATCCCTAATTATAACTTGAAAAGACCACATCTGAAGAAATTGCGGCGTGAATGCTGGTTGTTTGGATGGAAAAGCAGCTGAAGCAGTATGAATAGTTGGGGAAAGGGATGAAGGATGCAACATATTGAGTAAGCAATGAAAGAAGTTAAAATTTGAGTTTTAGAGCAAGGACTTAAATAAGCTAAAGTGTACTGCAAAGAAGTTGGAAGTTTGGGTGAATCTCTGAGAAAAGTCATAGCTCATTATTGCCGATTCCGCATGTTTTCATGTATTTCATTTGCACATATGTTGGCAACACTGCAAGAATGGTAGCGGAACAAAAAATGTGGCAGGAAAATAATAAGAAGCTTGTTGGACAAACGTCGGTGTGCTTTGCGTCAGGCAAACTGAATGAGATGACTGTATTTGGTGAAACACATCAATGCTTCTATTAATATTGACATATCTTAAAGAAAAAGAAAATCGCCCACTTCTTGTTCACATTTATTCATACAAGACATTCGGTTATTTGGTCTTTGTTTTTGCTCATCTTAAATTCCAATGTGATCCACCATCAAAATCCACCACAAAGTTAAATCAGCAGCATCACATTAATCAAACTTTGTGTTTCCTAGAGGGCCAGACAAGGTTCCAGGTTCCCAACAATCATGTTGACCGGTTTGCCACCTGGAAACTACAGCCACGTGGACGTGGCCAGTCTGGTTTGGCGGTATTTCCCCAAATGGAACCTTCGCTCCATGTACTACAACGTGATGATCTTACCTCTGCAGAGGAGGGTAAGCAGTAGAAACTGGGACACACATTTTTGTAATTGCACATTTATTAAATAGATGGAGTTTAATTGTTTTTCCTTTCCTTTATTTCCTCTCTTCATCTCCAGGCCTTTGTGTTTTTCACTGATTGGACGTCGTGCTGCGATTTCGTCCACGAGCACATCAGAAATCCAGTTTGTTTGAAATATTGCCTGCTCAGTGTTCACTTCGTCATGGAGAACATATCTCCCATATCCAGTGAGGTATGGACACCAGCAATAATTTAACTTGCGCTGCAGCTGTATACATATGTATCGTCGCAGACTTCAAGTAGTACCCATTCCAGACTGTTTCCTATGACTGCTTCTCCGATGACTCTGTGTAACAAACCAATAGGATTTTTTTTATCTGTAAGGTTATCATAATTTATTAACAACTTGTACTGAAAATAATTCCTTTCTTTAGAAAATGTCAGATATGCTAATTTTAGAGCAAATCACCACATACAAGCACAGAAATGCAAACATGTACGCACACTATTTAATAGAAATGTTTGTGTGAAATAAAGTGTTCTCACAAAACCAAAATTGGGACCTCGATGCAATACCTAAATATCGTCATACTAATACTGAAAAAATACCTTTCTTGTATTGGTGTACCATGCAACACTATTGACATGCAACATGTTTTAAATGCAGATATTATTGTAAATGTGTTTTGACAACATTTGTGACTTGGTCTCTTTTTGCAGGAGATACTGTACAGAACTCTGATGGCGTGGAGCAACGCTGTAAGTCAATAACCTGTTATGTAAATCTTTTGTCAAGTGGAAGCAGCTCTTCATCTTTGGATCTCTGGTGTTTAACACCAACTATTTCTTGCTCTTCAGGGAGTTCCAGAGCCAAAGCTTCTGGAGGAGCGGTTGCTGTGTGTGGAGACCTCTGAGATGTCTGTGGACATCATCGGGGTGGTCATGGGAGTGGTGGCGTCTACTGCGCCCTTTGTCGGCTTTCTGCCACTCTCCAACAGGGTACGAGAATACAAACGTATCACTTTTCACATTAGACTGTTGCGAGAATCTCCATTGTCAGGGTATCTGCAGACCTCAAAAAGCCTTTAAAAGTATTGAATTCAATTTTCCTCCAAAATAAAGACATTAAACAGTATTAAAACGTCTTACATTTCATTTACAAAGATCTTAAATTTGTTTTCTTTAACATGTTTAGTCATACCTTTTTTTCGGCCTGATGGGAGATGTATTTATTTCTATACCTATAAACTAAAAGTGGGAGGTTTTTATGAAATTTCAGTCTGCACCATGAGACTAAAGAATAGGGCACTGTTAGCTACTGTGGCTTGGAAGCTAATTGACTGATAAACTCTGCATGGATTTTCTGTCGCATTTAAACAAATTAGTTTGAGTTTGTTTGACCATTCAGAACAACTGTTTTACTTGAACATACTGTAACTTCACATACAATTATTCTTATGGCTGGTTCTGTTCTCTTTCTCCTGTCTTGTCAATTTCTTCATCTCTCCCTCCTCTCGTGTTTTTTCTCTTTTTGTCCATGACTGTCGTTCTACCTCAGATATGCATTGAGATGGTCGACTCCAGCGGTGTAACAAAAATGGTGGAGAAATACAAGTCTTACATACCAGACTCCTGTGACAGCTACGATGCTTGGTAAGCGTTTATTTAAAAAATAAGGGTTATGAAATGGGGTTGAATTAGTTGTATAATAACTCCCATCTGTGTTTCCCCACATAGTCTTAAGGTTGCCTATGTACGCGTTACTATATCTTAAACATTTGAATCCCCTATCCTCACACCTGAACTGACCAACTCCTTCTTTTTCTCCCTACAGGAGTAAAGTTCAACATGTTGAGACGTGAGTACATCACTCAGTAATTCATTCTTGCCAGTTTAAGAGATCAATTTGATGACTGTTATGAGTTTATATGATGTTAGCTGGTGGCACATTTCATTGGATAAATCAAGCTCAATGGACAACAATTTATGTCCGTCTGTATGCCGACATTGTTCAACTTAAGGCTGGTATAACTCTGAATACACTTCAAACTGCCTGCACACATATCCTCTTCTTCTTGCAGTCGAATAAGGAGCACTTACGTGCATACTACAACGTGTGTGCACATGTGCCCTGTAAAATCAAACGTAAGCTGCAGTTCAGGAATCAACAGCCTTAGGCTGAAGCGTTACATTTACATTAGCGACATATACAGAAAATAGTTTTCATATTAAAAACACTCAACTCAATGACATGTTTGGCATACAACAAGATAACTGTAGAATTATTTCAGGGATACTGCATGAGAACTTCTCACTTCTTATTTCTTTAACAAAGTAGTGTATTAAGCCATGTTGTGAAAACAACCATGCTGTCATTTATGACTGACAATCCCTTTTGTTTGTGATTTTAGTTTGAAGAGCCTTAAACAGCGTCTAAAAGATGCTGGTGATAACATGGAAGCGAAACCCATCAAAGCCCAGCCCCCAGCTGTGAAATGTCAAACCCAGCCCTCTTTGTCTGATAATGGGTCACAACCTGCTCAGCAAACCAGTGGCTCTGGTGGATCCACCATTTCTGAGCCCACCACAGCTGGACCAAGTGCTAGTGCTGCAAGTTACGTAGCAATAACGAAAGACCACGAGAAACCAGGAACAGAGTTTGCCATGGACTCCACTTCTGGTCCTGAGGCAAATGAAGGGGTAAAGAAAGCAGAAGAAAAGGGGGAAGAGGACCCACAAACAACTTCAAGCTTTACTGCTGATGTTACGTCTTCAACTGCAGTCAGCAGTGGGAACACAGTCCCAGCTGCTTCCAGTCCTGCCCCATCAGCCACAGCGCTCATGCCTGAAAAAAGCGTTGCAGTACTTCCTCAGATTAATGCAGATGTTTTCCAGGCCATCGCGGCAGCAGTTCGCAACCACAGGCTCACCCGAGAGACCAGTTCCAAGAGTGAGGAGGAGGTGAGATCAGGCTTTTAATCTTTTTCAGCACATCCATGCTGTTACTTCTTCATCCTGCATGATATACAGTGGGTACGGAAAGTATTCAGACCCCTTTAAATTTTTCACTGTTTCATTGTAGCCATTTGCTAAAATCAAAAAAGTTAATTTTATTTCTCATTAATGTACACTCCGCACCCCCTCTTGACAGAAAAAAACAGAAATGTAGAAATTTTTGCAAATTTATTAAAAAAGAAAAACTGAAATATCACATGGCCATAAGTATTCAGACCCTTTGCTCGGTATTGAGTAGAAGCACCCTTTTGAGCTAGTACAGCCATGAGTCTTCTTGGGAATGATGCAACAAGTTTTTCACACCTGGATTTGGGGATCCTCTGCCATTCTTCCTTGTAGATCCTCTCCAGTTCCGTCAGGTTGGATGGTGAACGTTGGTAGACAGCCATTTTCAGGTCTCTCCAGAGATGCTCAATTGGGTTTAGGTCAGGGCTCTGGCTGGGCCAGTCAAGAATGGTCACAGAGTTGTTCCGAAGCCACTCCTTTGTTATTTTAGCTGTGTGCTTAGGGTCATTGTCTTGTTGGAAGGTGAACCTTCGGCCCAGTCTGAGGTCCAGAGCACTCTGGAAGAGGTTTTGTTCCAGGATATCTCTGTACTTGGCCGCATTCATCTTTCCTTCAATTGCAACCAGTCGTCCTGTCCCTGCAGCTGAAAAACACCCCCATAGCATGATGCTGCCACCACCATGTTTCACTGTTGGGATTGTATTGGGCAGGTGATGAGCAGTGCCTGGTTTTCTCCACACATACCGCTTAGAATTAACGCCAAAAAGTTCAATCTTGGTCTCATCAGACCAGAGAATCTTATTTCTCATAGAGTGGGAGTCCATGTGTTTTTTGGCAAACTCTATGCGGGCTTTCATATGTCTTGCACTGAGGAGAGGCTTCCGTCGGGCCACTCTGCCATAAAGCCCCGACTGGTGGAGGGCTGCAGTGATAGTTGACTTTGTGGAACTTTCTCCCATCTCCCTACTGCATCTCTGGAGCTCAGCCACAGTGATCTTTGGGTTCTTCTTTACCTCTCTCACCAAGGCTCTTCTTCCACGATTGCTCAGTTTGGCTGGACGGCCAGGTCTAGGAAGAGTTCTGGTCGTCCCAAACTTCTTCCATTTAAGGATTATGGAGGCCACTGTGCTCTTAGGAACCTTGAATGTTGCAGAAATTCTTTTGTAACCTTGGCCAGATCTGTGCCTTGCCACAATTCTGTCTCTGAGCTCCTTGGGCAGTTCCTTCGACCTCATGATTCTCATTTGCTCTGACATGTAATGTGAGCTGGAAGGTCTTATATAGACAGGTGTGTGCCTTTCCTAATCAAGTCCACTCAGTTTAATTAAACACAGCTGGACTCCAATGAAGGAGTGAAACCATCTCAAGGAGGATCAGAAGAAATGGACAGCATGTGAGTTAAATATGAGTGTCACAGCAAAGGGTCTGAATACTTATGACCATGTGATATTTCAGTTTTTGTTTTTTAATAAATTTGCAAAAAATTCTACATTTTTTCTGTCAAGATGGGGTGCTGAGTGTACATTAATGAGAAATAAAATGAACTTTTTTGATTTTAGTAAATGGCTGCAATGAAACAAAGAGTGAAAAATTTAAAGGGGTCTGAATACTTTCCGTACCCACTGTATGTCTTCCAATTTATTTCACATGACACTAATCTGGGAAAACTTTCTTTAGAATCCCAGCAAAAGCAACACAAGCTCTCGACCTGCAACGGCTGAAGACGCACCACAAAGAAAGGTTAACATCCTTCTTTTTCATTCCCAAAAACCTTCTTGTCTTCTTTGTGCCCATTTCTCTAACCTTTCATCTACAAAGAGGATGAGACCTTTCAACCTTGGTGATATGATTGTCAAAGCTTGTCTATGGAAATTCGTGTTAGATAAACAATCATATGCAGTAAATGATTGGGTCATCAATTTCTTTAATTGCATTTTGTTTATCTTGATTAAAAAGCTAACCGATTAATTGTTTCAATGTTTGATTGATTCTTTGTTCTCTATTCAGGGTCAGGATGATTCTACAGAGGACATCGATTCATCAGATTCCTGTCGTTTTGATGAGCTAAATTTCAACATGGATGACTTTGTCACTGTCGACGAAGTCGGCGATGACGTGGGTGACACGAGCCCCGAGCCTCATAGCTCCTCCTCCTCCAAGCAAGGCTCCAGATCAAGAAGAGAGAGGCAAAGCTCAGGAGTGTCTGCTGGCAGACGGACCTCAACAAGGTTTTCGAAAGACTCTAAGAGCGCAGCCTCTACCTCATCTTCCTCATCCAAGTCGATTAAAGACTTAAGCTCGTCGGGCTCTGCGTCACCAAAAAAGTCCAAGTACTCATTTGAGCCTACCAAATCCCCTGTCAAACCCTCGGCCTCTGCCAGTGCCAGTAAGTCCTCCCCCTCTTCTTCTCCACTGTCTATTGAAACCCCTTCTGCCCCTGGTCAGAAAACACAACAGAGCAACACACAATCTCCAGCCAAAGCATCCAACACTGCATCCTCTGGTTTAAGCACCCGCTCATCCTCCGCTGCACGTGAAACAAAAAGGATAACATCAGCAGCAACGGTCTCAATAGGAAGTCGTTCTGAGCTGCTTATAGAAGAAAAAGACACAGAGTGCACTGTGGCCAAGTCTGACCACAAAGTGTCAGCAGAAAGCATCGCTGCAAAAACTGTTACATCCGAGACAAAAATGGAAACATCAGAGATGCATCCACCTGAACCGGAACATGGGTTAGAGTTGAGCCAAGCCCAGACTCCGGAGATTGCTATTAATGTCAACGCACCTGAAGAGCAGAAGAGAAGCGAAGAGGAAAGGAAAGAAGAGGATGTCGACAAACATACAGCGGTGGAAGAGGATGAAAGTTACCAAATCCTTGATTCACTTGATGATCAAACAGACGGACCGAAGGATGATGGGAACCAAGCCAGCAGCTCTGAAGCCCAGCTAAGTGGACCTAAAGGAGGCCAGACTTTGCACGACGAAAGCTTTCAGGTCTCGGACAGTGTCGACGATGAACTCAAAGCCTGCCCACCGGAGTGTAATGAAACGGAAATCGACGGTTCTCTCCAAGTGTTGGACAGTGTTGCCCAAGGCAAAGCAACTACAGGTCAAGAGGACAGTCCCCTGGTTCAAGATGACGGTTCCACAGTAAAGCAACTGTCTGAGGATCACGAGACAAGTAATGCAGATACTTTCCAGGTGTTAGATACTGGTAGTAAACACACTCTAAAGGATATGGGAGATGGGAAGAAGAGAAAAGAGGAGGAAGTCAAAATGTTTTCTGCAGAGTCCTGCAATGCTGTCCACGATGTGGATAATCGTGACAGCCAAATTCCAAATGAAGACCAGCCTCTTCAAGACCCCGACAACAAAGTAACTTTAAAAGACCCAGACAGGGATGCTACTGAACAAGAAACCTTTGAGATATTGGATTCAATTGATGATCTTACTTCAGCAGAAGATGACAACCAGAGCCTTGAAACTCCCAGTGACCACATCTCTTCTCAAGAAGACATTAGGCCCATGGAGGAAGAGGAAGACACATATCGGGTAATTGATTCTGTGGAAGATCAGCCAATGACAGAGACTGGCAACACAGGAAAAAGGAACATGCGAGGGAAGGCAACGGCTAGAAAAGATGATAGACCATCAAAGAGGAGTGGCTCCACAACCACAGCACCCAAAAGTGAAGAGAAGGAGAAATCGCCAAAGAAACCGGACAGGACAGTTAAAAAATATGAGACGCGGACGAAGATGGAACTCACTGCAAGAGTTTCTAGGAAAGACAAAGACGTCTCTGAGGACATGGTGTATAAGATAGTAGATTCTGTTGACGACGAACCGCTTGCCACCATAGAAATGTCTGGTAGAAGAAGGAGTGCAAGAGGAAAGAAAGAGGACAAAATCACATTGGACCTCACAGAAGCATCTGAAAAACCAGAGGAGGCTACATACAAGATTTTAGACTCTGTGGACGAAGAAACTGCCAATGATGAACCAACGATGAGACCTACCAGAGGAAAAAGGGGAAGACCAGCTAAGAAAGAGGCTTCAAATGAGAAGACAAAAACCGAGGACACGCCAACAAGACGGAGGCAAACTCCTGCCAGAGAGTCTCAGGAACGAAACAGGGAAAAAACACCAAAGAAAGAAGAGAGAGCCCCTCCGAAAGAGAGCACCCCATCAAAGAAGAGCGATACTGTTGTAAGTGAGTTAAGTGAGGAGGATGCAACCTATGAGGTATTCGACTCTATTGAGGACGAGGTTGTTCAGGATGATCGGCCTGCTACAAGAAGAAAAGGAACAAGGGGAAGACCAAAGAACGACGTCAAAACAACTAAAAAAGATTCCAGCTTAACATTAAAGAAGGGTGACAAAGACGTGTCCAAAAATGTGACCGATGAAGAAGAGGCGACCTATCAGATTCTTGACTCTGTGGAGGGCGAGACGGCTGACGATCAGCCCCACTCGGGACCGTCAGAAGAGACCGTTTTGAAAAACATTGACCAGCAAACAAAGGAAAGTGAATCTCTGACAGGATCACCCAAAAATGAGGAGGAAGATGAGCCGATGTATCAAATCATAGATTCTCTGGATGACGATCAAGTTCAAGAACAGCTGGCGACTGTAGAGGACAAGACAAAAGATAAAACTTCTTCAAAAGAAGAGTTATCAGCGGAAAAAGAAGACACACCGACATGTGTTGGCGCAGTTGTGGAAGAGACCGAAAAGGAAGAGGAGACTCTGTTTCAGATAGTTGATGATTTAGTGGAGTCAAATGATGATGCATCTGCTGCAGAAGGGTCTGGTACAGGAAATAAGGAAAGTACACCCAGAGCAGACATTCAGAAAGAGGACAGATTAACAACTAAATCCCAGAGCGATGCTGCCATTCTTGAGATGGAGAACAAAGAAAGGTCGCCTGAGAAAGACGACACAACGAGCACTCTGGTGAACCTGGACGAAGTGAGCGAGGAGGAGGAGGATTACCCAGACGACGCGGTCGAGGAGGAAGAACTGAGGAAGCGACAAGCCGCTGTAAAAAAGAAGCAGTCCACCAAGGAGAGAGAAGCAAGGAGGAGCAAGGAGAGGGAGGAAAGGAGGACCAGGGACACAGAGCAGAGGGAGCGAAGTAGCCGGAGCGGCAGCAGCAGTGGAGGAGCAAGGAGGGAAAAGGAGAAGAGGGCGAGGGAAAAGGAGGAGATGGTGGCGGTAGACCCCAAGGAGCTGGTGACTCTGGATGAGGTGGGCGCAGATGACGCTGGACAGGAGAGAGCGCTAGAGAGCAAGGAGTGGGATGAGGAGATCACGGAGGGGGAGCTGCAGGCACTCGTCACTCTGGATGAGTTCATAGAAGAAGAGGAGGATGGGAAGGTCGAGCAAAGCCCGCCGGAGACCCACCCACCCAGCCAGGAGGACGAATCGGTGGACTTCTTAAACCCAGAGGTAAAGAGTCAACATTCTAACACATAGAAGTTTAATTTTCTTTCATGGGGAAATTACAGAAGCTCAACAAACACATGTGGTAAAGATGTCTTGTGTCTGCTTTTAGACTTTGGTGACTTTGGATGAAGCTGGCGATGATGAGGAGGAGAAGCCGGACGAAGAGCAAGCTGAGCGAACCCCAACATCTGCCAAACGCAAAACCGATGATGACTCGGGTATGTTATTCTGTCACCACATAGTACAGTATGGAGAATACTTGCACATTGCAGATTTACATGTAGGTGCGAGTAAAATCATATCATGACACCCCTACTCTGTAGAGATCTGGTTTCACTTTGACATTTTTGTTGATCAGTGTCAAAAAGAAGCCACAATCAAATCTAACTTTATTCAATATGGTAAGACAATAAACAAATAAAAACTGGGGTTAATACTTTGGGGGTTATTTTTTGTCCAGTTTTAGAAGAAAGTATGAACTTTGTGACAGTGGACGAGGTGGGAGAGGAGGAGGAGGAGGAGGAGGAGGAGGAAAAGGAAGCGGTAAAAACCAGGACAAGAGGACGACCCAAGAAGAGAACCAGACAAACCCCCGGTAACACACAAACACACTTATATTTACATCTTTTATGCATGTCAGGGGACTCAAAAAGAGAATTTCCTGGGGGCCAAAAGGGATGTTTGGTCCTGTGTGGGACCCTATTATTTTCCAGTTTCCCTTTCCCTTGTTTGCTTAACCAATTCATTGTCTTTTACCACAGTGAGGAAATCTACCAGAGGGAAAAAGGTGACCGCAAAAGACGAGAGAGAACAAGAAACGGAGCCAGCTGGCACTGATGTACTGCCTCCAACTGCACTCGATGCCTCCTCGTCACTGGACAAAGGTCCATCTGTGGTGTCAAGCGTCGGCCAGCCGGAGATCCAGAAGACGGAGGTGGAAGCAGCCGGCCAAGCCGACATCGATGCTGCCTCTGCTGGGCAGGAGCTGCAGCCGGAGTGTCCGGAGAACCAGACATGTGTGGAGGAAGGAGAGAAGGAGGAGAAGGAAGGAGGGAGCAGGGTGGACATTAAAGGTACAAAGATCTAAAAGAATGATGGACTTGCACCGATAAATCATTTGGGCTCTCCACACATTGCAGTGTGCATAGAGAAAACATATTTTTACAAATATTAATGTGTGATTATTGGGACTTACAGCGACAGTTCACATTATTTTTGATTTCAACAATGTCTCTTTCCAGAAAATCATGACCCGGTGCTCCAGATCATCCACAGAGGTCTTTTTAAATGATTTAAAGTTCCTTCCTTTTCTTCTTTAGTTGCCAGTAAGCGGAGGAGGGAGCTTCTCGGACCTGAAGCAAAGCGCTCTCGTTCTCAGTCTCCTTCTATCTCCTCTGACCTCAAACTGCCGGCATTCAAACCCAACAACCCCCTCGGTGAGACGCGTGCATATTATTAACACACTCCCACAAGATGCAGATGTTTTCGTCCTCCTGTTTCACTTCTTATTTTCTCCCCTCTTCAGGTCAGGAGTTTGTGGTCCCAAAGTCCGGGTACTTCTGTAACCTGTGCTCTATTTTCTACCTGAACGAGTGCACCGCCAAGGACCTCCACTGCAGCAGCCAGAGACACTATGACAACCTACAGGTACTCACGCACACACAATGTAAACACAATAAAACACACTTTTCATTACTTGTGTTTCATTATTTGTGTTCCCCCTTTTCTTTTTTCAGAAACATTTCCAGAAGCTTCAACAGAAACCATCAAGAAGCTCCACACAAAGTTCCCAAGGCTCCGTTTCTGATTGATCCCAACTCCAACATTTAACTGTTGTTGTTTTTTCTTTTCTTGTTAAAGTGTGAAAAGCTGAACTAGTACCACGTCTGCAGCTTTACAAACCCTTACAGAGGGTTTTAGTTGACAAATCATTATGTGTATAATACGCCATGTTGGTCATAACTAATTGCTATATAGCATTTGTTTTTCCTATAAATGTGTAAATATTACTTCTACCATGATACTTAATTGATATTTTAGCATGTATTGTCCCATTTCAAACTCTCCAACTCTACAGTTCTGGTGCCTTGCTCTGCCGACAGTTAGTTACATTTCATCAGTTGTGATGTGGAAACATGGCTCATTTACTCATAAATAAAAGATTACTACAGTATTTTTAGTATATACTGAATTAGTTTGCATTTTGTTTTGCTTATTTTCTGGAAATTTACACTAAATATGGATGGGAACTGGAGATTTATAGCTGAATCGGACTGATATCTTTTGTACACTAGTGAAATAAATCGTCTCATTTAGGTATATAAATATAATAAAGGTATAAACTTATTACATACTTGAATTAAATCACATTTTGACATTTCTAATGCAACATGTAGCATGTTTTGAAGGGTGAACTGTAACTAGTTTGGAACTTCTTTTTAGATTTGTATAGAGTTTAATCTTGCACATGATGTCTAACGGTCAGATAATTGGTAAATTGTCGTCTCTGTACGATCGGATGTCTTCGCTTTGATTAGTAAAGAACCAAAGAAAATGACTTTGATTCTCCTTCCACACTCGTCTTCCTCTGATTAACGTCACCTGCTCCTGGTTCCCACCCTTTAGACAATATGTACTTCACGCTCAAAAAAATCTGTGAGTTCACGTGGAGGCCTGTAGCAGTGTCGCATAAGAGACGGGATGTCCGAGTGTGCGCTCAGCGTGACCGGCTAAACTCTTGCACACAGATCAAATGTCTAGTTCAGGTCAGGAGGTTAACAGCTGTGACACAGGCGACAATAATTAGTATTTATGAAGTGACAGTTGAAATATAACATGAACAATTGTAGCAGAACAAAAATACACAGAATAGCCCTTTTCCAACCTGACAGGAAGAGAAGGCGGGGAAAGAGGCTATAAATTAGACACCTGTGAGCTGGGGGAGGGGAAAACTAATCAACTAACCAAAGCTGCATGGAGGAGAACAAAGAGGAGTGAGAGTGTTTAATGGAGTTACCGAAAGTATTATTCAGTTTCTGGACCTGTTACGCTCAAACTAAGAAATAGTTGACGTAGACTGAACTACATCGGAGCAGCAAGGATCCATGAACGGGCTGGACACACGGAGCTTTCTTGGAGGACAAGGCCTGACTGGAGGAGTGCTGATCCCGGGAGCAGGTGGTTGAAAAGGAATTGTGTTTAGCTGCAGCTTGGACCAGCTCGGGCCTGCTTAACTTCGGGGATTAATCAAGATAAGTCCCTTTTTAAATGCAACTCAACAGATTATAATGCATTATAAGTGAATGTGTGGTGGAAATCTGAAATTAAGATCGAGAACCAAGTTGTCTTTCAAGAGTTTATTATAGCTTATTAATGATGCATTAGAGCAGTCAGATTCTTCTTTCAAAGAATTATGATTTTATTAGATTTAGATTGTTTCTCCACAAAGAATCACACAATAGCATCACTTTATGTTATGTTTACCAGAGATGTGCTCATTAGTTTCATTAATAAGTTACAACTGGCACTCAAAGCTCCCTTTGAGTGCCAGTAAAGCGAGAGTCTATGGGCTGTTGCATTGGTTTGCCAAGAAGCCTCACCTCCTCTCTGGCTCTTCTAATATGCATGTCTATAGACCTCTCCATGTTCTTGTAGATAATGGCGCTGCTCGGTTCAGGCCTGTAGCTCATCAACTGAGGCACCAGTGGCGGAATTATTCCCCCAGAGTTGGCAGAAGTCACAGAAGAAGTTCCAGGAGAGCTGAAGCTGGACCCAGGTCCAAGGCGAGGAGATGCCGTCGGAGGGTCCCTCTCTGGCGGTCCACCGGAGAGTCCATACTGCCCTTGGGTGGCTCTTTGGTTCCCAGAGGCATAGGGGTTGTACAGGGGATGGGACATGGTGTTTGCAATCTTCAGAAGGTGAAGGAGATTGATGGCCACAACGGTTGGGGAGGGGGGCGTTGTGGGTATGTAGGTCGCGGCTCGGCTGCCAACAGCGAGAGCGTTGTTTATCTGCGTCACTGCTAGCTGGGCTTTCAGTTGAGCCAGCCGCAAGGAGGCAGCCTGCTGGCCGAGCAGGCGCGAGCTCCTGTGGAGCCCTCCAAGCAAGGGGCTTGTTGGGGGCCGTGGAGCGGGAGAAGGGGCACAATGCTCCGATAGCAATGCAAAGCTGAAAAGTTAAAAAAAGAAAAAAGGATGGGGTTATTGAATGGGATTGGACTTCAGCTTCTTGGATGGGTTAAATCCATCATCTGGATGGTCTTGTCTTGAAGTCGTCCACTCTGGTGCTGTATGAAATAAACATCATGCTGTATTGAAGAAGACTTGAAACTAGAGATTGAGACCATAAACTCATGTTTACAATGTTTACTGAGGTAATAAATCAAGAGAGAAGTAGTCATTTTCTCATAGACTTCTATACAATCAGAGGAGTCGCCCCTGCTGGTCAGTAGAGAGAATGCACGTTTTAAGACACTTCTGCATTGGCTTCACTCGGCAGAACCGGAAGTTGCCGCCTGCTTCCACCCTGTGTCGCAGTCTGAATTTGGTGAATTTCATTAGATTTAAGTCTCATTTGATGCCTTGGGAATAACTACTATGGGTCTTTCTCATTCCCCGATTTTGTTCCTTGCTTGATTTCTTTCCTCAACTCCTTGCGTCTTAGTCAAACCCATTGGAGATACAAGCGGAGGAGGCGAGGAGAAGAAACGAGCAGAGTAAACGTAAAGGATTATAGCGGTTGAATTGGATGTAGCCTACATTCAGTAAAAAGTATCAGGTGAATGTCTCAGAAATGTGGTTAGAACAGAGCCTTATGAGGAGCTACATAGACTGTGAATGGCAGAAAGTATGAGTTGATATCTTAAATATACACTGCTCAAAAAAATAAAGGGAACACTTAAGCAACACATCCTAGATCTGAATGAATGAAATAGTCTTAAATACTTTGTTCTTTACATAGTTGAATGTGCTGACAACAAAATCACACAAAAATTATCAATGAAAATGAAATTTATTAACCCATGGAGGTCTGGATTTGGAGTCACACTCAAAATTGAAGTGGAAAAACACACTACAGGCTGATCCAACTTTGATGTAATGTCCTTAAAACAAGTCCAAATGAGGCTCAGTAGTGTGTGTGGCCTCCACGTGCCTGTATGACCTCCCTACAATGCCTAGACATGCTCCTGATGAGGTGGCGGATGGTCTCCTGAGGGATCTCCTCCCAGACCTGGACTAAAGCATCCGCCAACTCCTGGACAGTCTGTGGTGCAACGTGGCGTTGGTGGATGGAGCGAGACATGATGTTCCAGATGTGCTCAATTAGATTCAGGTCTGGGGAACGGGCGGGCCAGTCCACAGCATCAATGCCTTCGTCTTGCAGGAACTGCTGACACACTCCAGCCACATGAGGTCTAGCATTGTCTTGCGTTAGGAGGAACCCAGGGCCAACCACACCGGCATATGTTCTCACAAGGGGTCTGAGGATCTCATCTCGGTACCTAATGGCAGTCAGGCTACCTCTGGCGAGCACATGGAGGGCTGTGCGGCCCTCCAAAGAAATGCCACCCCACACCAGTACTGACCCACCGCCAAACCGGTTATGCTGGAGGATGTTGCAGGCAGCAGAACGTTCTCCACGGCGTCTCCAGACTCTGTCACGTCTGTCACATGTGCTCAGTGTGAACCTGCTTTCATCTGTGAAGAGCACAGGGCGCCAGTGGCGAAGTTGCCAATCTTGGTGTTCTCTGGCAAATGCCAAACGTCCTGCCCGGTGTTGGGCTGTAAGCTCAACCCCCACCTGTGGACGTCGGGCCCTACCACCCTCACGGAGTCTGTTTCTGACCGTTTGAGCAGACACATGCACATTTGTGGCCTGCTGGAGGTCATTTTGCAGGGCTCTGGCAGTGCTCCTGCTGTTCCTCCTTGCACAAAGGTGGTGGTAGTGGTCCTGCTGCTGGGTTGTTGCCCTCCTACGGCCTCCTCCACGTCTCCTGATGTACTGGCCTGTCTCCTGGTAGCGCCTCCATGCTCTGGACACTACGCTGACAGACACCGCAAACCTTCTTGCCACAGCTCGCATTGATGTGCCATCCTGGATGAGCTGCACTACCTGAGCCACTTGTGTGGGTTGTAGACTCCGTCTCATGCTACCACTAGAGTGAAAGCACCGCCAGCATTCAAAAGTGACCAAAACTTCAGCCAGAAAGCATAGGAACTGAGAAGTGGTCTGTGGTCACCACCTGCAGAACCACTCCTTTATTGGGGGTGTCTGTCTTGCTAATTGCCTATAATTTCCACCTGTTGTCTATTCCATTTGCACAACAGCATGTGAAATTGATTGTCAGTGTTGCTTCCTAAGTGGGCAGTTTGATTTCACAGAAGTGTGATTGACTTGGAGTTACATTGTGTTGTTTAAGTGTTCCCTTTTATTTTTTTGAGCAGTGTATAAAATGTATGAACACAAAAAGGAACTGTTACATTTGTAGAGTCCAGCGGTTTGAGATCATTACAGCTGTGTGTCACACAGCTTTTATTTGTTTAAGTGTGCCAAAAACACTTCTGCGAAGGACACCCGAGTTTCCTTCGCTCATAAAAGTAAAAGTCCATAAGTAGAAACTACTTATCATCAAACTATAGGCCTCTCTAAAGTACCAGACTGGCCCACGTCAAAATAGTAATAATGATGTCACTGGATTATAATTATGAATAAATTAATGTGTAAGCATCACTATAATATTGCAGTTCATAAAGGTGGAGCTTATTTTTTAATTACAATATGAAGTATTTATTTTGTGTATCTGCAAACGAGTGGAGTAAAAAGAGCAATATTGGCTACTATAAAGTTTAAAAAATGGAAATACTAGACTACAAGTACCTCAAAATCATACTTAAGCACAGTACTCGAGTGAATAAACTTAGTTACTTTCCAACACTGTTTGTCGGCATTCAAATAAACTACTCAACCAATCTTGTGTTCAGAGTTTTTGGTAGCAGGGCTCTTACTTTGTTTACATTAGCTCCAACTGGCTGGATCAAAAGTTCATGTTAAACATTAAAAAAAAAATTGAAGAGTTATAGATTATGTTGAGAATTAATTTGAACCGAAACTGAATTGATCAGTTAGTTCTCAATTCATTCACTTTATGTCGGTTAGGTTGAGAATATATTCGTCATAAAAGTCCTGCTTTTTAACTTAATCATTCTTGTCCATAAATTTGGGTTTCACAAGTCGTGTTATGTAATAATCCGGTAATATTTTGAAACCAAGGCCACAGAAATAAAATAAATTTTAGTATTTCTACAAGTTCATACAAATAAACATAGATGACTAAATGCTGCTTTGGCTTATTTCCTTTCCTCGTTAAATGAATAAGGGTGTGAAAAGCAGAGAGGATACGGGTGTTATCATTATTCTGCCACACAGCGGTGCTATTCTCACATAATTCCAGTTAAAACATTTAATATAGGCTCGTAATGGTATTTTAAACACTGTATGGGTGGTGATCAAGCGGTTTCTGTCACCATAAATTATACATTAATTGAGAATATATCAACACCCCGCCTCCCTCTCAAATATATCAGATACATTCAAAAACAGATGCATTATTAATATCTATTCAAATGAAAACGAAAATATGTTTTGAGACACAAATGAAGTGAGGGGAGAAGGAACTTTTGTTAATCAAAGAAGTAGTTTTGTAGATTATTTTGTTTGTTTGTTTTAATTTACTAAATTAACCACGTGTTTCAAATTGTTTTAAACTGAGTCCGTAATCCGGAAGAAAATACGTTTCCCTCCAAACATTTGTTAAGAGACAGGGTTGCAGCATTTAGTCTTTCATAATGAAAAGCTATTGACTACTCAGACTGCTGAGTCAACAGTTTATTCAAACGTGATGGTGAATATTTTCATGAAAGGATCTTTCTCTGGGGGGATTGCATCAAAGTAATAATATATCCCCGTTATCCCCTCCCTCGACCACATGGCTTAACGCGTGTGTGTTTGTGTGTGCGTGTGTGTGAGCATTATAATCACACTGCAACATCACACAAAATACATTTGCAGAGCTTCAAAGTCAATCGGAGCCAACCAAGTTAGTAAATCACAACAATGCTGAACAACACCATCTTAATCTCAGTTTTTAACAGGAATGTCATTCAAATTTCATGTCTAATTTATTTACTGTCAGCCTATCCCAGGGGTAGAACACTCTTACCTTTAGGAGACTACAAGGACCCCACCAGAGATGAGCAACACTGGACATTAGTTGTCACAAAAAGTAAGGTAAAAGATTACAAAAATGCATGAACCCTCCAGGAATCATCACAAAAGCCAAAGTCCGAACCCCCGATCCTTTGTTGTCTCCTATACTTGCTTCTCCTTGGCGCTTCCTGCAGCCGCCAGGTCCATATATGGCAGACAACAGATCATTGGCCGAAACAGTTCTCTTATCACCTCTGAAAGGCCTATTTTTCAGTTCACTTTCCTGCTAACCTCCCCCCTCTGTGGAATGTGTGAGATGGGAACGTGTGATCCATGCAGCTGACTGCCTGCACACATATCATCTTCTTCTGTGGCTTGGAGTGGCTAAATGTTCTCTGTAAAGAGCAGAATGAGTCTGAGACTGAGGCTTGGTATTTATGTGTTCTGTTATATCCCTCCCACAGGTTGTGACAGTCGTTATAGGGCGTTCTGTTTGTGATCACAGGAAGAGGCTCTGGGGACATGGTGTGCATTATGTGCTAAATAGGTTTTTCTGTTTCCGAAAACAGGAAGCAGCTTGTAGGCAAGATGTGCATTCTGTCAAAATGCTGTGTGTGTGTGTGTGTGATATTGCTAAGCTTTAATGCATCCATATTGCAAGCGAGCACAATATGATATGTGTTTACAATTTGTATACGTTTCTCTCAACAAAACACTCCAGAGTGCAATGCAGTCTGAGGGGAAGAACCACGTGTGTACCGTTTATAAAGGAGCAGAGCACGAGGGTGGGGGTGGGCTGAGTCATCATTAAAACATCTGGACATCAGTGACCATTCAATAGTTAACTAATCAATGAAATATCTGCATCGTCATTCAGCCCCTTCCTCTTATCTAAGCTGAGCAGAAATACCATATACGCATACATGGAATTTGTCTCTGGTTTCCACTCCGCTCTCAATGTACATACACAAATTTACAATAAACAAGAAAAGAAAATATATATGGTCTTGTTATTGAGTCACAGTGGAAAAAGTACCATCACAATAAACAAACAAATAAAGAGTGTTAAATAAAGTATGTTATTAAAGTGGCATGTGTGTATTTAAATAGCGTGGATAAGGGTTAAATGGTAGAAGTGACACAGAATAATTTGTGAATGTCGAAAAAAGCTTTAAATACCAATATGTTTTTAGTTTTTAATCAGAAGAAAATCACAACAGAATTGACCAACAACTGTGTGCGTTTAAAGGAAGTGAACGTGCCCACGCACCGCCGCGTGAAGCCAGCTGGGTTACAGAAGTAGGAACGACTTCCTGCCAAAGAGCAACCACAACTGTCGCAGCTCAGACAGAAGCTGACTAAAAAAACCCGGCAGAACTGTGGTCATTTGACACAAACACGCGGACGCCGGGACAATTTAGAAGCAAGAAAGCGATTATTCCTAAACTACTTGACTGCAGCAGCATTTGAATTCAAGCGAAACGCAGGCGCGCGCACCCTTTAAGAGTGGGCGTGCACTCAGCGAGAGACATTGCGGAAGGTTTTGCAAAACAAGATAACAAAATATAAAAGACACGTTGAGCTCGTTACTTCCAGGAATCCTCAGCAAACGGACACTTTATAATCCACCAAAGAGGCGCAGAGGAGGCTGCTTGTGAGCTCGCAATAAAGGAGTAATGGAGAGAACACGGTAGTGAAGACAACAGAAGACAACTAAGGTAAAGAATTACTTTTATTCTAGAAAAAAAAACAAGATATCTCGGGTTCCTTGGTAAGAAGTAACTGCATTTTAAAACCAAGATGGGGAAGAGTGTAAAAGCAAATTGGGGAAATGACATCAAGACGAGACAAGAGGCAGAAAGTTTGACAAAGAAAAAGCTGTTAACTCTTGGGCCAAACTTTCTTTTACGCGCGTGTGTGTGTGTGTGTGAGAGAGAGAGAACTTGTGTAACTCTTGGCTCAAACTAAAAGCTTATCCACACACACTCTAACACACAATCATCATTTCTTTGTTGTTGTTAATGTGTTATCATATCTTGTTAAAATACTTTGTCATCAATATTACGTTGTCATATCTTATGTATGTGGATTTTGTGTTCTTCATAATATTGTGAAATGTCATATCGACTCCTTGTGTTTTCTGCCTCTTCCTGCACTATGATATTATTTATCTCTGTCATCTTTGTGTATTTGTGCTAACCAAGAATCCACATCCACATGTCTCAGTTGAAAGAGAATAATGTAAATACCAGTGAAATATGGTCTGAACGTCTTCAAATAGTCTGTGAAAAAACCTGTTAACCATCACCGTATTGTAAATGCCTTTTACATTAAAAAAATGCTCACAATAAAAATAGGTTGCAATTAAATACTTATAGCAACACATCAACAGTTTCCACTTACAGGACAAAGAAGACCATGTGACACAGGCGACAATAATTTGTATTTATTAAGCGACAAATAACATCATCAATGTTCTTTAAATAGAAAATACATGAGACTCCCTTTCCTTTAAATGGACTCAGGAGCTTCAGGTGGTCTGCCATATTTAAAGTGGACATAATTAGTTTTACTCACTTCCTCTACATCCCAACTGTATGTCGCCCGACTTGCTTTCTGTCGTGTATTCTACATGTAAACTGTCCTGAGTTTGACCCACAGCAAATGAAAAACGGAGCATTTTATACAGGGAGCCAAAGCCGTGTTTAGACTGTATGTAAGCAGTAGGAGACAAAGGGTAAGAGAAGACCATGATCAACACAACAAAAGCAGGGAGGGGCTTTCACATTCATGCCTGCAGTAAGGACATACAGTTGGCGTTTGATCATGTCAAGGCCTCGACCCGGTCGGGGGTCTGAAGTTGCACCGAGCTGCTGTAGCTATGAGCTAACTGTCTGGGAAGAGTTTATCTCCGGCGCTGTTCATCTTCTCGTGTTCTGTTATTCCCTTCAGGAATGCTCCTGTTATGGGGGAGTTTGAGCTCAGACAGACAAACGAGCACACCTCTCTCTCTGTAGCCCGAACATATAGTGATGCTATATACACAACATATAGTGATGCTACCATATTATAAGTGCAGCTTTCACGATGCTTTACACCTCATGTAAAAGTAACAGTGTTTGTTACACAGCACGTTATACTGACATAACTTAAGCCATAAAGACAGTTTAGTTTGTTTGCATGTAATGCATTATGTGTTATAAATGTGCTTATAACGCCTTATAGATCTGACCTTCATATAAAGTGTTACCTAACTTTGGCAGTTTGACTCCAATATAGAGATTTTAAGGCAAGTTAGAACGATGTGAGACAATGAAGGGTACAAAGCAGAATAGTGAACTAGGCCACGAGAGGGAATTAACCAGAATCCTCAGCTCTAACTCACACAGGGAGCTGGATATCCTCCACGTCTGCCATACGTCAGATGCCTCTGAACACAGCCGCCTGCACCCCCTGTTCACCCGGACCTGCTGGATGCAACAGCCTGCTCCACCTCCATATCGACAGAGTGAAGTCGAGACCTCCGCCTCCAGCTTCGTTGATACTCGTGCAGGGCACCATGACGCGGAAAGGTGTTAACGTGCAACGCGTTGTTTACTGCCGTATCCTCCGAACCACCGAACACCATAAACCAACTGCCACAATGCCAAGGAGGAATTGTAATTAACTGTAAACTCAAATATATCATGAAACAATATTTTGGCTGGGAAAAGTTTTACTCAAATTTAGATTTTTAAGATCTCCTGTTTGTCCAGCATTTGTAAAATCCTCCGACACATTAGTAGGTCTTTCATTGGTACAATGCGTGGTGCACGATCCAGAAGAAGACGTCGCGGTGCTGGTCGTGCACACTAAGCACCCGCTGTGTGCGAACATGGGGCTTTTCAGAAAAGCACTGTTAACATGTCTGAGGATTTTACTTTTTTAAATGCTGTAGAAACAAGAGGTAAGTAAATATTTTGCCAACCGATTCGTTTCCAGGATATTCACCCTTTGCATTATAATACATTTAATTCTTGACTTATTTATTTACAGGGATTGTGTAAAGGTGATAAAGTAGGTCCATGAATGTGAGATTTAAGTTCGCAGTTGATAGCAATACGTCCTCTACATTGGGGCGGTTGGTTTATGGAGTTTTGCTGATGACACTCGCCGACTATTTTGTTTGTGCGCGCTCTGGCGTTTCGGAGAATCTGCAACAAACAGCACGTAGAGCATAAATGCCTGTATGCGTGCTCGTAGCTCGCACGCTGTCTGTGGAGTCTCGGCCAATGGTGCCTCACGCGATTATAAACCAAGCGTCGTTCCTCGAATTATTGACTTTGGAGGCCCCATGTTGGTTCCGTGGACTCTGTCCCTCTGTTTGTACTGATTGGCTCACGTTTGATGACTTGTACACTCTTCATCATTTTTCTATATCTTATCCTGTAATAAATACTTAAAGACAGAGAGCTTGAGATACTTTTGATTTCTCACAAGGAAATACATTAATTTCCACCACATGCAGTTTTCGAACTTATCTTTCACTGTGTGCACCATGCTCTGAGCATTATGAAGGTGTGACGATACTGTAAGAGATTATTGTCTTGCTTTTCTTTTGTCAATAAGAAATTTTCACGATAAAGGATGTTTGTATGATCTTGTGATCCCACTTTTCGAGCAGGATCTCTTGATATTGCAAGAATGCACACTAAGGACTAAGAGCGGACAACTCAATACAAGACCTTCCAGGTGATGGATTTTACCCATCCAAGAAGCTGATGTCCTTTCCATTCAATAAACCCTTCCTTTGTCTATTTTTCAGCCTTGCATTGCTATTGAAGCATTGTGCCCATTTTCCGATTTCAGGGCTCTGAACAAGTCGCTTATTTGGAGGGCTCCCTGGGAGCTCGCTTCTGTACTGTCAGCAGGCTGCCTCCTTGCAGCTGGCTCCACTGAAAACTCAGCGACGCAGATAAACAACGCTCTGGCAGTTGGCAGCCGAAGATCACAAACTCCATGTCCCATCCCCTGTATAACCCCTATGCCTCCGGGAACCAAAGTTCCAACCAGGGGCAGTATGGACTCTCCGGTGGACCGGCAGAGAAGGACCATCAGAGAGCGTCTTCTAGTGCTGGACCTGGGTCCATCTTCAGCTTTTGTGGAACTTCTTCTGGGACTTCTGCCAACTCTGGGGGAATAATTCCGTCACTGCTGCCTCAGTCGATAAGCTACGGGCCTGAACCGAGTAGGGCCATTATAGACAAGAACATGGAGAGGTCTATAGACATGCATATTGGTAGAGCCAGAGAGGAGGTGAGGCTACTTGGCAAACCAATGCAACAGCCCATAGACTCTCGCTTGACCAGGATTCAAAGGGAGTGTCTCTCCTCAGGCACAGGGATGGTCTCCTACCCAATGTCCTCAACCTCTGCCTCTCTAGGACGTAGATACCCGGGAGTTGAAAGTGGCAGTAGGTCCTCGGACTGGTCATCGAACTACGAAAGGCCCACTGCCGATGAACCCTCTAAATTTTATTCAACGTCTGCTTCGTCTTCTTTTTCAAGAAGTGCTGACAATGTTTTAATTTCCTCCAGTGAAAGAGAACATGTAATGCAGTCTCTTCCAGGGTTAGGTAATGTTGAGTATCCATTGTCAGACAAGCCTGCGGCCCGTACAGAGTCGGAATTAGCTTCTAACATCCTTCTGCGTTTTGGACTTGAAAAAGAGGACTTGGACCATCTTGTCAACTACCCTGAAGACCAGATCACCCCTGCTAACCTGCCGTACATCTTGCGGCAAATTCGCCTTGAGAAGACCAAAAGAGCTACGACTGCAGTGCAGCCGAAACCCTGTTCCGATCCCCAACCCACCAGAATGAGTCATTCTGGAGGGGTAGGGATGCGCCAGGAGGAAATATCATCCGCAGTCCTCAAGCAAAGTAAAGTGATTGACTGTGGACAAAGTGACAAATATACTGGAGGGGCTGGAGAGGAGATTGGAAGTATCAGTCGCAGTAGAGAAAACTGTGGTGGCAGTGGAAGTATGTTGCTAATTTACACTTATGGTAGTAGCAGACATATTGAAGAACCACCGCAAAAAACAGTTGAAAGCACTGCCTTGGGTTTTTCACGTGACCAGGCGAGTTCTGTTTCCAGTCTCAGCTCTTTGTACAGTTCAAAACTGAGCTCTGTGGCTCCCCCAAGCAATGATCAGACAAAATTGGAGATCCAACCAAACCACAGTTCCCAAACAATTCTGAGCTCTTCTTCTCTGCCAAAGACAGACACGGACATCAGCGCTGTCAAGTCTGAAGCCTCCAAACCCGATGCTTTGAAAGAACCGGAGGCAGATCGCCAGTCAACAACGAAAACCCAACCACCATGCACTTTGTACTGTGGTGTGCAACCCAGCAGACCGGACCCTGTGCTCATTGGCAGTAATGACACCAGTGGCAATAAGGATCAGAATAAACCTAAAGCACAAGGGTCAATTACTGGAAAGATTAATAAGCAGCAACCAATATCACAGATGCAGCAGACAGAGAAGCAGCCAGTATCACAGACGGGGCAAGCGATTTTGCCTTCAGTCTTTTCTGCTACCGAATCGGTTCCCCCTGCTCTTCACATTCCCAGCATCACTGGTGCCATGCAACATCTGCCATTCATCCCGGTTGGTCCTCCCCCCATCGTTAGTCGTCCAGATCTGCCTCAGCCAATCCCAGACCTGGTGGAGATCATTGATCTGACGCTGTCACCCACCAGCGAGCAGCCTCCGGCAAAAGTTTCAGTCTCCAGGGACCTGCCAACAGCGGCCATGATGCGTGACGGTGCTGCGGCCACACCGAGAATCTTTCCACATACCTGTTGTCTGTGTAACACAGAATGTCTTAAAATCAAGGTGAGTGGAAGTATGCACTCTGTTGTCTCTCCCTTTAGGAAAGTTCCAGCACTGACAGCTATGCCATCATTGTCTAGTTTTAGGCAGATGACGTTATTGGTGATAACAGTTGTGGTGATAATTAGGCCTTTCTAAATAGCTGTGCGTTCGATGTTCTGACTACTAGGATTGGGTCTACCACCAGAACACCAGCTTTCACCTTGAGAGCTGCAAGGTCCTCCGTAAACGGTCAGTCTTTTTTCTCGTAGCGTTTCTTTTGTCTTTGTTGACAAAATGTAGCCTCTTTGCACTTTTAATATGCGTCTTTCAATTGTTGTTTTTTACCACAGATACCCGGAGTGGGATGGTGAGATTCCAAGCAGGACCAGGTACATTTATTTAGCTGAGCAGATGCTGTGTTTTTTTTATTGGATTATTCGAGTGATTAGTCTGATGTTGTGACACCCATCAAACTGCATGTCGAACCATACAGTTTCTGCCCGGCTTTAGTGCTCAAACACTTGTTGTGAGTTGTGAACCAGTACTCTGCTGACTTTTGGCAAATTTTCCTTTTCCTATCGTTCATTATGCTTTTCTCGTCCAGTGCTCTCTACAGTGCTGCAGGTAAAGATGCCAAGACCTCGCCCGCAACCACTTCACGACATCGTCGGAAAACCGGGTCCCGCTCACGTTCCCGCTCACCCATCCCCCGTCGGCACCATCGTTCAGAGGGCAGACGGGAGAAACCCAGCAGACAATCACGATCGCCGCACAGATCCAGTCGCAGGTCTGTAACGCATAAATTCTAATCTGAGCAATAAGATTGGTGAACAGAAGAGATACCACTCTCCACCTGCTTGTCAAATTGCCAAATATGTTCCTGCAGAACCTTAAAAATATCTGCCTTAACACCAGCGTTTTAACCTCTTCAGAAATCATCATTTGATTTTATCTGTCCTTTGATCAGGTCCAGGTCAGGTTCTCGTCCTACCTCCTCCCGCCATCGGTCCCGTTCAAAGAGCTCTGAGAAACAACCGTCACAGAGGAGGAGGGATGAGAAAGGGTCCTCGCCAAGGAGGAGAGATAACAGACGATCAACTCCAAGGAAGAGCTGTAAGAGACGATCATCTCCAAGGAGGACTGATGAGAAACGATTGCCCTCATTTCGGAGTGACAAAAGACGATTGCCACCAAGGAGGACTGACGAGAGACGATCGCCACGAAGTAGGGGGTCCATTCGACGAGAGAGGTTGCGCAGTAAAAAGAGCTTGGCTGAGAAACTACTGGAAAATTCAGGTTTGAGAAATTACAAACACTGCAAGGACGCAAGATATTGTTTTAAAGACTTATCTTTAAAATAGCTTTTGTGATGTTTAAACATTTAATTTGCTTTTGGTTTGGCTATAAGGAAGAAGCAGTGCTTCTTACAGTATTAATAGTAATTCTTACTGCGCTTTCCAGTGGTTCTGATGTGAATGTTAACTTGTAAACCAAGTAGAAAACATTTTCCCGAGAAGAGATGGCAACAGTTCATAAACAAAGATCTTACGATAGAGACTCTTTATGAGACTTTGCAAACACCAACACGCTGCTATTTTGTCGTCCCTCTAGCTGGCCAGTTGCTGTCAAACAAGTCAGACCTGGATGCTTTGGTTAAAAGTCTGGCTCCTATCATACTTGCCAAGCTAGCCAAGAGGAAGTCCCATTCATCGTCATCGTCATCGTCATCATCATCATCCCCCTCCTCCTCCTCCTCCTCCTCCTCCCTCTCCTCTTCCAATGAAGGAAAGACCACCTCGTCTTCTTCTTCCTCATCCTCTACAGCAAAGAAGGAGTTGACTAAAAAGCCTTCTGAAGCAAAGCCCAGCCTGCAGAAGAGTGAGGCAAGTTCTTCCACAAAGACTAAGGTGTGTGTGTGTGTGTGTGTGTGTGTGTGTGTGTGTGTCTTACCCACGTATTGCTTTCTAATTCTGTGTTTTTCTCTCTCTTTGCTCAGTGTGTTAAACCTTCACCTCCAACCATGGTGAAACTAAAAGGGATTCATAGTTCTGTCTCTCGCAGCGACGTGTTGGCTGCTTTGGAGCGCTTTGGAAAAACCAAGTCATTCTTACTGTTTCCGTCCAAGCTGGAGGTGTGTATCAGTGATGTCTGATGATAACATAAGATAACACACACTACAATATGTGACTTTACATTTACAGTAACTTACTGTCTACTAGTTGCATTACTTTCACAGCAAGTTAATGTGACATTTTTACAGTAAAGCATAGTAAAATGACGGCTGTATTCTGTGCCTTTACTGTCGCTTATGGCATCAAAGTTCTGTGATAGAGCAGTATGTCGTATTACTGCATTGAACTGTGTATTTACAGTAAATTACCCTTCAGATTATTTTAGCAGCATGTTGTAGAATTGCAATGTAGTAATCCCACAATGCTTTGCAAGGTTAAAACTCGAATCTCCAGTGAAATACACCCCCCCCCCCCCCCCCCCCCCCTGCATTCATTTCACAATAATAATATAATGAGAAAGGATCCCAGGGAGGAGGAGGAGGACAGTTCAGTCTTTCTCACAGATAAAGTGAGCTAGGGAGTGAAAACAATGCCACAAATCATGAGACAAGGTCGGATGAAGACTTGTTTTCAGAATGGAATATCACAGATTTCACACAAACAAAGTATTATTAGCTAAGTTTCTCCTTGACAATCTGTTGCTTTTATTTGGCTATTTTATCCAAAGTATCTCTGCAACAAGGGACTCAAACCCAGAAACCATCAGGCCTGTCCTGTGTCCGTGTTGAAATCATATTTATTAATAGTTTATTGTAGGCTTTTCGCCTTTTGAAATGCAATGTAAGTGCATAAATGCTACAATTCCTCTGATTCAGTCTTGGAAACTGTGCACGTGTAGGCAATCGTGTGTTTTGAGAAAGAAGAAGACGCAGAGCAACTGAAGAGCCTGAAGAGCCTCGATGTGAAAGGAATTCAAATAACTGTTGTTGGAGGAAAGGTATCATCACGCTTTTTGTCTTTCTTTTTGTGTCCCTGGGAAATATACGTCTGAGAATATATGTCTCACTGTCAACTATCAGATTAATCTAAAATAACTCATTTCAAATTGTTTTACAGGACACTGTGTGTGTGGAGCAAAAGAAGCCTCCTCTGAGGTAAGATATGTTTCACACAGACGTCTCTTTAAGAGGAGGGAGGGTTTTACCCATGCTCCAAGGCCACTATGCTTACTCCCCTAATCCAAATGTTCGTTTTGAATAATGGCTGAAGTGCCCTTGAAAGAGGGTTGAGCAGCTGACCTGCAGTCTCCCTCGCACACAGTCTCAAACATGCATCTTAAAATGTCAGGGTTTAACGAGCCGGCAGACTCGTCATGTCCACGCGAGGCAATTTAGCTTTTATACAGGTAATAATGCTGCCAAGAACATACGCGTTGTCTTCAGTCTGAAGGTTGTATTGTTCAAAGACACGTCTGTACGCACCGCCAATGATTTTATAGTGAAGAAAATATATAATCATTAAAACCGTGACATTCCATTTTCCCTTTTTCTCTCTTTTGCTCATAGAGAACCTTCCATGTCCAGTGTCTCCACACCTCTAAACACTTCCACTGTCACGAGAAAGGTCCTTCTCCCTACAGCTGACATGATTCCACTGGAACTGCCTAAAACGCCTCCGTCGTCACCTTCTGGACCCGAAAGAGATCCAACAGGCGAACTCCAGAACAGTGCAGCTGAAGCCACCGAAGCAGAAAACATCTCAGCCGAGCAAGACAATGAAATGGTAAAAACAGGAAAGTTGCCCGTGAAGGCAGCCGAGAGAAAGCAAAAAACATCCCCGGGATCCAAGTCCTCGACTCCAGAATATCAGCCTGATGTAGAATAAACCAAAAGATTCTGAAACCAAGGTTGAAGAAGCTGTGGCAAAAGACACAACCATGGTTGTTGGAAAAAGTAAAGGTGACGGTTCAAAGCCACCGGTTTATTTACTTTAGACGTCTTTTTTTACTGCCAAAATATTTCACATAAATATGAATTATGAGCTCATACGACCACAGAGTCGTTTGGGGCAAACGTAGCTCTTAGCGACCTTATTTTTAAAAAGCTAGCAAGTTATTCAGACCGTCAGGGGAAAAAAAAGCAAGAAATATGCACAAATCTATGACATTGTAATTTATTCTTATGCATGCTGCTCACAGTGATTTCATTCAGCCCCAGGTGTTTCAAACAGTTACCTCCGTTACCCCTCTGACTGTTGGCGAGACTATAGAAAAACACCTGCATCGAGACAGAATAAGTAAGTAAGAAACAGTTTGTTTAACGGTCCCAAATGTCTTTCTCTCTGTTTCTTTTTAAACGTTTTCTTTGTCTCTCTTTGACAGAGCTCTTCACGAAAGAAAGCGTCTTATGGGAAAAGGTAAGTCAAATCACAGCATTTACAAATGTGCTTTTACTAAAGTGTCTGGACACGGGGCCGAGAGATGTGATCTTTGACCACATGATCATAGTTTATAAAGACTCAGAGCTGGGAGGATACAGACATGTTAAGTGAAATCCAGGTTTACATATCACGTCGTTACTAAAGCGTAACGTGTGCGTAGAGAGTTTGTGCTTTCTGTTTCGTGGCGGTGGATATTCTCAAGACTAACTCGGCTAATTCTTTGCCTTCTCGTCAGTGACGAGCCCTCGGACAACAAAATGACGCAGTGCCAAGCTCAGTCAAAATGTTCCGGAGTTTAATAAAACGCACGAAGGAGTATACATGTCAACAGTAGATAAGGAAGGAGCACAGGGAGGAGGAGGACAGTCTTTCTCACAGAGATAAAGTGAGCCAGGGAGTGAAACCAACGCCACACATCATGAGACGAGGTCGGATGGAAGAGCGCTGTGTTCAGATTCATCTCAGGGAAAAAATAGAAGTGTTGTGAGCTACGTTTTCTCCTTGACAATCTGTTGCTTTTATTTGGTATTTTATCCAAAGTTTCTCTGTAAGAAGGGAATCAAACCCAGAAACCATCAGCCCTCTCCTGTGTTGACATGTACTCTATCCAAACGACTGAAGGCACTGAATATTATGGGTTCAAATCATATTTATTGATAGTTTATTGTATGCTTTTGGCCTTTGGAAATGCAATGTAAGTGCATAAATGCTACAATTCCTCTGATTCCGTTTAAAGAAATGAAACTGAAATATCTGGGCGGTCAGACATGTAGTGGAGGAGCTGTTAATGTTTTGTGTGTGAATGTAGTGAGTTTATAGTCCTGACGGTTGTAGTAATATGTGCGTTTGTGTGTGTGTGCACATGTAGACAATCGAGTGTTTTGAGAAAGAAGACGACGCAAAGAAACTGAAGAGCCTGAAGAGCCTCGATGTGAAAGGATTTCAAATCCCTGTTGTTGGAGCAAAGGTATCATCACACGTTTGTCTTTCCTTCTCTGTCCCTGGGAAATATACAGTACATAATAATGTATGTCTAATGTAGTCTCACTGTCAATTATCATATTAATCTAAAAGAACTCATTCTAATTTGTTTGTTTACAGAAGACTGTTTGTGTGAAGCAAAAGAAGCATCCTAAGCAAAAGAAGCGTCCTCTGAAGTAAGATATGTTTCACACAGACGTCTCTTTAAGAGGACAGAGGGTTTTATTTATATATATACTGTGTGTGTGTGTGTGTATATATATATATATATATATATATATATATATATATATATATATATTAATTAATTACCATAAATATTCTGTTGCTCTAACTTTGTGTCCTCAGTGTAAAAAAAAAAAGTAGTTTGTGGAGTAAAAGTCATCCCAGGAATTTAACCTGTGAAGGATTTTATAGTGAAGAAAACTGACTTTGACTTTCCATTTTTCCATTTTCTCTCTCTTGTTCACAGAAAACGTTCCATGTCCAGCGTCATCACATGTGTAAACACTTCCACGATCACGAGAAAACCTTCCGTGTCCAGCGTCATCACACGTGTAAACACTTCCACGATCGCGAGAATGGTCATTCTCCCTACACCTGGTGTGATTCCACTTGAACTGCCTAAAAGGCCTCCATCTTCACCTTATGGAGCCTTATGGAGAAGAGCTACAGCAGAAAATGAAATGGTAAAAACAGGAAAGTTGCCCGTGAAGGGAGCTGTGAGAAAGCAAAAAACATCCCCAGTATCCAAGTCCACGACTCCAGAAATTCAGCCTGACGTAGAATAAACCAAAAGATTCTGAAACCACGGTTCAAGAAGCTGTGGCAAAAGACACAACCATGTTTGTTTAGTCTTTTTTACTGTAATTCATGCACTCATACGACTACAGAGTCTTTTGTGGCAAGCGTAGCTGCCCCCCCCCCCCTTACTCACACGCAGCGTTTCCACCGTTGACTTATTTCTAACAAGCGTCTAATCTAGCAAGTTATTCAGACCGAGAAATATGCACAAATCTATGATATTGTAATGCATTCTCATGCATGCTGCTCACAGTGATCTCATTCAGCCCCAGGTGGTTCACATGTCTATACACTCGCCTGCCGAAGACGCCCAACCAATGGAGGTTGGTGCAATGGGAGCTGAAGTGGTGGAGCCCATTGAGTTTGACACCTTGTCAGAACAAAAAGAACGACGGGGGACCAAGACTGTTGGCGAGAGTATAGAGAAACACCTGCATCAAGACAGAATACGTAAGAAACAGTTTGTCTAATGGTCCCAAATGACTGCATGGGATCATCATTTGTTATCTTTCTCTCTGTTTCTCTTTAAACATTTGCTTTGTCTCTCTTTGACAGAGCTCTTCGAGAAAGAAGAGGTAGGTCAAATCAAATGCATGAAGTACCGCAGTATTTACACTTGTAGTTTTACCAAAGATGTAAATTAAACTAGGAGATAGGAGGTTGTTCTTTAACAAGAGATAACTCGATGTGTATTATGGGTTGACGCTGTGATATTCAACATTAATGCGATTATCGGAATTATACTTTATTGACGTTCTGCAGTCACAGCAAAAAGAACATTTACACTTACCTCAGATGCTGTGTTGGGTCAGTAGCATCCTGGTAGTTGGTGCTCTGCCTGCGCTAATCTATAGGTACCTTTTTATTGAAAATAGTTTTGCAACTGTTGCAAATTTGCATGCAAATTGGGTGTCTACTTTGCATTTCTGGTGGTTTATTCGTGTTCTAAAGGCTTTCTTGTGCTTTGACTAGTATACATTGTTTTTCTCCTTCTTTACTTTCCTTGATTTGGTTTTCCAGGATGTTCCAAGTAATAGCAAGCTGTTGCTCATCACCAACCTGCCGGAGTATCACGACGGCTGCTACACCGAGGAAGACCTCGTCAAACTGCTCATGCCATTTGGGTTTAAATATCTAGAAGACTACATCTATGTTATTCCTCAGAAGTGCATGGTAGGCCCCAGGCTATGAATCTGCATCTCAGTTTGGTTTATTGATCTCATGTACTTAATGTTATATACATACACTATTGGTGCCTATATAAGATTAAAACTTCTCTATACCTTTTTGATATTGGTTTTCCTTTCAGGCCTTCTTCAGGGGCACCCAGGGGATTAGGCTCAGAATAATGGAAGCCTCTGCAAAAAATGGCATCTTTTTCAAAAGCTCTAAACTTGTGTTCCATGCAGTAGCCAGCAGAGTTCTAATGACACCGGTAAGCACATGCGTAGCACAGATTTTGACAGATTGTTCAGTATATTTATTGATGTACTGAAGAAGGAAAGATGTTTGTATTTCAACACTGCCTACTGTGACGTTTCTGTTTTAGATTGGATTTTATAAATCACTGATGCAGCTGATGCGTTTTGTAAGTAATGCACACTCGCACGCTTAATGCCTTAAAACTGAGCGGAGTACAGGAAACTCTATTTAAGATATTGACTTTTACTTTGAAAAACTGTGCAAAATTCATTCATTGCAACAATGCAGAGCAGTTTGTGTGCGTCTCTCTGCCGTCTTGTTGCTCTTCTAGTTTGGGTGTTGACTTCCTGTTCTTGATGCAGCGTGTGCTGGATGATGGAGAGAGAATCGTCTTCATCAAGGGCATTTCACCAAGTGAATCCAGGAAGCTCAGAGAAGTTTTGAAAAGAATCGAATCTGTCAAAAACGTCTTGCCTCTCCTCAACAAGGTAGAAACAAACACGTACGAGTACGTCTGTTTTAAGTGACTTCCTCTTGGTCTTACCTGTCATGAATGTTTGTGCTTTTGCGTCCAGGTATTTGTAGAATTTAAGTCGATTCGCGATGCTGATCGGCTCGGAGTTTGGTACAGTCTCTTGAAACAAGCCCCCGACCACATAGTCCACCGGCTGAAGATACCATCCATTGGTCTAAAATTACCACTACGTGAGTTTCTCTTTCAGACAAAAACTATGAATATGTTACCTGGATTCATACTGATTGATTCAGTCTCTGCTAGAGGTTTGTTACTGAAAAGAAAACTACCACGTACCTGCTTGGGTTTTTGCAGCACCAAAACTTCCTGAGAACACTCTGCCGGACAGCGAGGATGTTGTTGCCGGTGCAACTATACCACCGATAGAAATCGGTGTTTCGCAGGGTAGCTTTGGACCGTTTTGGATCCCGATGAGAACTCATCCCTTTCTGTTCCCTACCGGGTCTCCTTGGTTCTTCAGCCCAGGTAAGAGACACCTTTTCTTACATTTTCATAGTAACAAGTTTGGTACTGCCAAATTTACCATGTTTGAACTTATTCAGTGAAGTAAGAGTTTTTCCTTTGTTCACTTTTAACTCCAAGATTCCCTGACGGTCAGAGGAATGCACGACATTGCAGTAAGCCAGCTTCACTTATACTTTCCTGGTGCCCGGAATCTTCTGTCATGATAGAATTAAATACTTGACACACTTGAAATTTGAGTTAGTATGTGCTTGTAAATATCAATTTAGACAACATAATTGTGTATTATGATATCCTGATATAATACACAATGTGATAGCATGAGATAAGACATTTCAGTGTGTACATATTTAATTAATATTTAGGTAAATATAAGTATTTGATCAGACTATTCCAGCTCTCCTCCCCCTCCTTTTGGGGCGGTTGCACCACTCGCGGTGGCGTTTGGTCCGTCTCGGTGGTCGAAAGATGTTGTGGACACGCAGATGATGCATGCTTTGGTCATAAAGGCGAAGAAATACAGAGGTCAAACAAAGATGTAGCAAAAGTTTCAGGGAACTACTGGCTGCCACATCTTCATGTGCCGCTTCCTTGGATGGTTGTCAATTGAAACGTTGTGTTTCCTAGAAGGCCAGTGGTCATTGCTCCAGGTTCCCAACAATCATGTTGACCGGTTTGCCAGCGGGAAACTACAACCACGAGGACGTGGCCAAGCTGGTCTGGCGGTATTTCCACAAACGGAACCTCCGCTCCCTGTACTACAACGTGGTGGTCTTGCCTCTGGAGAGGAGGGTAAGCAGTAGAAACTGTGGACTGGAACAGTAAAACTGTATTTTATTGAATGGAGCTGTGTTGTTTGAGTTTAATTGTTTTTCCTTTCCTATCTTTCCTCTTTTCATCTCCAGGCCTTTGTGTTTTTCGGTGATTGGACTTTTTGCTGCAATTTTCTCCAAGATCACATCAGAAATCCAGTTTGTGTAAATTTCTGCCCGCTCACTGTTCACTTCGTCTTGGAGGAGATATCTCCAATATACAGTGAGGTATGGACACTAGGGGAAACAAAACAGGGCGCAATCTGGGCTGTAACACTGTCAGGGTCAGGATTGGACTTTCAAATATTTTTAAATGTGTTTTTACGACTTTAGTGACTCATCTTTTTGCAGGAGATGATGTACACAACTCTGACGTGGAGCAACGGTGTAAGTCAATAACCACTTATGTAAATCTTTTGTCAAGTGGAAGCAGCTCTTCATCTTTGGATCTCTGGTCTTTAACTCCAACTATTTCTTGCTCTTCAGGGAGTTCCAGATCCAAAGCTTCTGGAGGAGCGGTTGCTGTGTGTGGAGACATGCGAGACGTCTCTGGACATCATCAGGGTGGTCATGGAAGCGGTGGCGTCCGTTGCGCCCTTTGTCGGCTTCCTGCCACTCGCCAACAGGGTACGAGAATACAAACATATGACTTTTCACAATAAAGTGTTGAGAGAACCCCCATCGTCAGGGTATCTGCAGAGCTTAGAGAGGATTCAATTTAGTTCCCTCCAAAAAAAACGGTATTAAAACGTCTTGCATTTAATTTACAAAGGTCATAAATATGTTTTCTTTTCTTCAGTAGACGGTAACATTAGTTTATAAGTTTATAACCATCTGTCTGGATTTACTCTTTCATATTTAATCAAATATGTTTAAATGGTTTGTGCAACCGTTTTACATGAACATACTGTAACTTCACATCTGATGAATCTTACGTCTTGTTGCTGTTCTCTTTCTGTTGCTTTCGTCCCGTAACCTTTTCTTCATCTCTCCGTCTTTTCTCTATTCGTCCATGAACTGTCGTCCTCAGATATGCATTGAGATGGCTGACTCCAGCGGTGTAACCAAGGTGGTGGAGAATCAAAACAAACATCGTACCTTTTACAGGATAAAGAACATTGACATTTGGTAAGCATATATCCTTTTGAAATGTAGGGGTATGACATGGGGTTAGTTCAATTACTCACATCAGTGTTTTGCTCACACGGTCTCTGTTTGGTTTGTATTCTTTATCTTTTAATCCTCACCTTCTTTTTCTCTCTCCAGGAGTAAAGTTCGAAGTTTTGAGCCGTGAGTATCTCACTTTGTAAAGTTAGGAGAGAGACGAAGCATGACGAAGATCAATGTGATGACTGTTATGATGTTATACGATGTTAGCAGGTGGCTCATTTCATTGGATGTATTTATTTATATGTCCCCGAGTTCAAGATGAGTAACGATTAGTGTGGCGACAGAAAATTAATTTGGCAGCCATGTTTTTCTATTGATTAGTCCTTAAAGACACTTTTAAAGCAAATACGATTAAGTCTCTCAGGAGAGGATTTGCTGTTTTTCTCTGTTTTTAAATAATTGTAAATGCATTAATCTTGTCTTATTTACTGCTGGTTGGACACTAAAAAACACACATTTGATAACATAACAAAGGACTCTGGGGAAATGTGATTTCCAGCATGTGATTAAAGCGAGAGATAACCGCACAATTCATTCAGGGACTCTAGATGAAAACGTGTACATTGTATTTCTTATTTCCTTAACAAAGTGCTATTTACAACCCTGCTGACATTTGCGAATAAAAATCCTTTGTGTTTGTAATTTTAGTTTGAAGAGCCTAAAACAGCGTCTACAAGATTCTGATGAGGTCACTCAAGACTATTTGAGCCAGACAACATTAAACTGGCGGCTGTGAAATCAAAGATTTGTGTTGTATAATAAAACAGGATGCAGTATTGAATAAATAAAACCATATGCTTCAAACAACTTTTCTTTTTTTCCTTGCCTTCACCTATTTTCACTCACCTTATGCTCGATAAATAAGAAGTATAGTAAACACTCATAAAGGCTGACAGAGCCTACGAAGAAATATTTATATACTACATATATTTCCGTCCTCAGATTTCTGCTTGATTGCTGTACGGCACAGAACAGACAGAGAGCAGAAACACACAATGCCACGTGGTTGACATTGTCAAACGATCGGTGAGGTTTAAGCAAATATTGACTTGGTTAAGGTTAAAAAAATATCATGGTTTGTGTTAAAATAATAACATAAGGTGACGTAACACAAAGTAACACAACTAGGTCATATAACAACATAACGTAACAATACTAAATCTGGTACAAACCATCTCTTCTCTTTCTTGAGATTAATGTATTTTTGTACCTAGTCCCTGATATAAATACATTTAATAAACTAATTTAACAACGTTGCGTAAAACGGCGTCTATTAACATGCCGTCAGGTAAGACTTAAAAGTCAACATTTACTTTTTCTTTCACTTGGGACACGATCAGCGGTCTCCTGGGTGAAAGTCCTGTGGTTGTTTGGCCCTTCCGCCTTTTGTGAACCTCCTGGTTTCAGTCAATTTTATACCAAGTTACTTTAATACCATGCAACGGTTGCTTGATATACTACGTCACTTTGCAGAAACGTACAATGCCAACATTTTTTCCTGGTGACTGATAGAAAGTGAGTGTATTCGTTTGTGAATAACACGGAGGACTGAAATGGCAGCTTAAATTAACATTTAAAAGTAAAAAATATAAATCTGGAACACAATCAGGGCCACTTTATTATTTTTATCTCCCCCACCCACAGCGAAGCAAAGTTAGCATACCTTCCCGTAAGCACACACACACACACACACACACCTTAAATATGCAGATGACATGACTGAAGCCCAGTGGGTCGCACTATAAATAGAGGGGCAACAGAAATGCCTCCTCCCCCTACGTCTGCTCACAGTCTGCCCCTGTTACTGAACATGTTCCACATCTCATTTACCCATCAAATCATTCTAAAACCCAAAAGTCTGCATGAGATTGACCAATACAATACCTTCAATGCCTTTTCTTTCTTTTGTCTGCCACACACTTTGTTAATACCTTTATTAATGCGATAGTCTCAGTGTCATTAAGCCTCTTAATGACACAACATACCAAAATGTGGCCTTTGCGTAGCCTAATAACTTTGCTGCACCATCCACTTTTATTGAACCTTATGGGGTCCCATAACACCCCTTTAAGATAACACTGTACCCTCTTGTCTTGCATCATCGTCGGCTTTCTCTCTCACTGCAACAAATCTGCATCAACAAGCACATTTTCCCCGACACACTCTTACCCTTTGTCTGTATGTGTGTGTGTGCGCTCCCCACGTGTGTTGGTTTAAGCTGGCAGAGTTTGGATTGTTGATTGTGTGACCCGAAAAATAAAGGCCACTGTGTGTGTGTGTGTGTTGGTGGCCCTTTAAACCAGTTGTGATTGAAAGGACTGTGTGTGTGTGTGTGTGTGTGTGTGTGTGTGTGTGTGTGTGTGTGT